AAAAAAAAACCTATTGATAACCAATTTTATTAATTTTCTTAAAATTTAACTTAATTATAAATTAATGCATTTTTAAACTTAAAAAATAAATAAATAAAAATTATTGTTATTATGATTATAATTATTATAAAAATTATTATAAGGTTAAAATGAGAATATCCGAATTTACAATAGAAAATATTCTATTATTAGCTATAAAGTTTTTATGAAAACCATAAGGAAAAACAATTTTATACATTTTAAACTATTTGTTATGAACCGTACGTAGACCGCGGTGCCTTTAGAAAATGTTTGTGGTGCCCCTAGGGTACCGCGGTGCACAGTTTGGGAATCGCTGATCTAGTGAATAGCCATCCAATTTACAATTTACAACCCACCTCACCCAAGGACATACTTTAAGTTTACCCCTCTCAAAATTTTTTTACCTGTTTAACATTTAAGTTAACGATTTAACTTTTTTTTAACCTTTATTTTAGCATTTAGGTACTTAAACATCTTAAATAATAATTATTAAACAGACAGCTTTCTGTATAATATTAGAATTAGAATTTATAGTTAATTTGATTGATTCACTTATTATACGTATACTAATCCACCACGGAATCACCCACCACCCTAAAAATTTAGCCTCATCTAGACCAGACTTGAATTCCGAGTTCGGCGTCACTGATCAGTATACTTGGTAAGGCCTGAACGATCAGTTGTTTTGTTGTTGTTATAACCAAAAAAATGAAATGGAATCTAAATGTTCACCTAGAAAATGGTGAACGTTTTTATTTTACTGAAAATAATTTTCAAGAGGTATTATTATCTTTTCTTCTATAAACAACACTCGCCGCTTTTTTTAAGCTCTGTACAAGAGATTAATTTGCAAAAGTTCTTGCTAGTGGAGAAAAATCCTTCTTAGTTTTAAAAAGAGTCAAGAACTACCAAAAAACATAATTATTTAATGAAAATATGTCATAGTTTTCTCTAATATATATTGTAAATATTTTCCTAAAAAGTGTAGGTTGGAATTATAATATTAAAGAGTTTGCTGCACAGAAAGCTAAAAAATAGTTGTAAATGTTTTATATTGAATAAATTTGTATTAAAATATTTATATTTAGTACCTACTAAGGTCTATAAATTTAAAAACTACTGGTGTTACAATATTTTTATATATATATATATATATATAAATTAAATGAACAAACTTAACTATGTTGCTAATTCTTGTATACATATATATGTTACAGTTAAACCCAAAATTCGTCGAAACTAGTTTTAACTAGTCAAAACTATTTTTCACAAATCCCTTTAGTCAATTCTGGTTTTAACTAGTTAAAACTAGAATTTACTAAGACCATCATCGTCAAAACTAGTTTAAACTTATTATTATTTAGTTACAATTAGTTGTGTCTAAAATATTGTAGTGAAAACTAGAATTATCTAGTAAAAATTCGTATTGTTTTATTGATAGGTAAAACTAGTTTTAACTAAGGAAATGTAGATATATAAGTACATATTAAATATAAACATTTATTTTATTATATATTTTGACATGATAAACTATTGTGGCATTTAGAGTTACATAGAATTATATTTTTTTACATAAACAACGATTTGTTCTGCAGGATGTTTTACATGTGCATTTTACAAATCCTTGCCTTGACCCCGTTGATGCTTTTGTTACAGCTGCACGGAGGGAAATATGATTTTTCGGAACTTGATTCTCTGTGATGAATTTTTCTTCACATGTTATACATTCAGACCGGAAACAATTTTTACTGATTACTTATTAATATCTAATTTTATTTTATTTAGTAAATAAAAAGTTGATAATGGACGCATCTACAATAAAATTTTTCTAGAATTCTATCTTTACATCCGATTCTATATAGATCGTACTCTGTTTTTTCTAACACTATTCCGATGATATTTGGATGATCGGTTTTGCCTTTGTCAACATCTGGAATGCGGATTACTACGTTAACACCAACTTCAACCGCAGGAAATTTGTTTTCGGATCGAGTTATCATTCGAGTTACCTGTTTTTCCAAATTTGCATAAGCTTTTTTTCTAATTGCATCTATGGTATCTGAAACTTATCAAACAAATATACCGTGTTTATGTATTAATTGGATTTGTTGGTTACAGTATGAACTATTTATAAGAATCTTTGTTTTAAGTTTTCAATCCTTAACTATAAAAGCTAAAATTTTAATAATTTTTGACTAAAAAATAATTTGAAAGTTTTCGAAAAATATAGGCAGTATTTATATTATAAAATACTTAAATAAATCATTTATTTTAACCGCTATAAAAAAATTTACTGTGAAATAAACATTAATATTACCTAAACTTAATAACTATAATTTAAAAAATAAAAATAAAAATTTTTACCTGCAGCTTTCTGTCCAATCATATTTTCACTTGTAGTTACAGTACTTATGAGATTTTCAAGTTCATCCTCGAAGTTTATAGTAGTAATCAATTCATTGGGCAAGTTAGAGGTTACAAGCCCCACTCTTGGATTAACCCCAAACATTGCTTTATAAGGCGTCATATTTATCTCGGCGTGGTGTGCTTTATTTTTTATAAATTGGACAAACTTTAATCCGATTGACCAATTAGTTGATTTACTGTCTGTCATCCAGGAAGCGAGAATTTGCTCCACGTCTTGGTTAGCACGCTCTATGGAGCCTTGGCTTTGTGAATGTCTAGGCTTTCCGTGCACGATTTTTAACTCTGGCCATAGCGCTGTCAAATCTGTAATCACATTGTTAACGAATTCTCTTCCATTGTCTGAATGCAGAAGAACCGGAGCACCAAAGGTTAAAAAAATATCTAATACATGGCTTGCAACTTCTTCTGCACGCTTGGTTTGCAAGGGGCGGAGCAGAACGAATTTTGTCAGATGATTCTGATAGTTAAGTATAAACCTAAACTGTGCATCGGGTTGCGACTGTATGTCTATCAAATCTATTTGACATCTACTATTAAACCCAGTGTGCAAAATTGTTTTCGAAACTAGTCCTTTCTTTCCTAGCTTTTTCTTTTTTTGACACGTTTCACAGAGGGACAAAAAAATATTTATCATGCCAGTGATGATGTTGGCGTACTTCCTTGGAGTTTCAATCTTTAGACGATCTCTTCCTCCATGTCCTATAGCGATGTGTGTCAAATCAATGACATTAAAAATGTCTTCCACCGACAAATAAAATTTAACTGGATAACCGCGGGTTATCAGTTTTTTGTACCGCCAAATTCTATAACATTAAACCGTTTCATCCTTCTATACTGAGTAGATGTTTTTTTAGTTACTAATATCGCATCCTCGACCTCTTTTAGAAGTAAATTTTATGCATCTTTTGTAATGATATAATGATTGTCCTTTCCTTTCGCCAATTCCATAAGCTTCATAAAAAATCGTTCTTGGGTACTAATTTCTGTCTCAGTTTCCGACATGATACGAAAGTATACAGTGACCCGACGACGATGTTCAATATTGGCGAACGTCAGTGAGAGCGCAAAAAAGAACTTAGAATAAAAAACGGGCAAATTCGCGACAAAAACACATAGGTACAACGACTATAACGAATACAATCGTACTGGCGAAACACGACATCGCCGACAATATATGCTGACATTTATATCAATAACGTATTAAGCTATGGTTTCCTAGAAAAGCGGTGCTGTTATCTAGCGGCCGCCATTTTACGGTTGTTACGGCCGTCTTTACGGTGATCAAACTGTGGTTTCCTAGAAACTGGTGTGACCGCATTCAATTGTAGTTAATCAGTACTTACTCGAGCGGTAGGTCGTGCACTGGTGGAAAATGGACGATCTGGACATAGCTTTATTGGTATGTTTGGAGGATGAAGAGTCATCAGAAGATGAAAAAATCGTTCGGAGGAAAGTGTGATGTTCAAATATCGTGATACTAAGGGTGCATTTAAAATTTTAATGTGTCATCTGGGCTTGTCTATACTCTTTATATTTTATATTGTATAAAGCTTCATTATCTTTTACAAAATCAATTAATAGTTCATCATTTTCGCTCGTCCAAGTCGCGTTTCCACTCATTTTATTAAATAAATGTTCACCGCTACACGCGAAAAAACGTTGTACGACTGTTTATCACCGCTAAGACGGCCGTCATGCAATTGACAGCACCGCTATTTGATGTTACGATGACCATCGACATTCTCTTGGAAACCTATACCTATACCTATGGTTTACATAGAGAACGTTTTAGTGACGTCACTTAACGTTACATTACGGCCGCTAGATAACAGTACCACTTTTTTAGGAAACCATAGCTTTATTGTAGGTATAATATGTCGAAGTTATCGTATCTGAGTGATGGAAGACTAGTTAAAATTATCTTAATTGATTTGATAATCGACCGGTCGAATTATCGAGCAATATTTGTCGCGGTCGTTATTCCAACGACCGCAGCAGCTTATTCTCGTCCACGATAACGTGACCGGACAACACGTAACCTACGTTCGAATAGATGCATTTAAGTTAAATCTAGTTTTTACTGACTTATTTAAACCTGCGGTTAATTCTAGTTTAAACTAGTTAAAACCAGAATTAACTAAAGGGATTTGTGGAAACTAGTTTTGACGGATTTCGAGTTTTAACTGTAACATATATATATATATATACTATACATATATATATATTGGTTTGTGGAGGGGGTTAAAGGGCGGAATTTTAAAATCTGTCCCTATGCGGCAAATTTGTTAATACGGCACTGGATAAACGCTATCGTAATTTCATAATTTTCATAGTTAAGTAACATACGATTGATAAATACAATATATGGTTATATTATCAATATTTACTTCTTCTACCCGTATTAAGATTTCATTTTAATAATTATGCAGAATAAACATGAAATACTACCACCATACTATTATACATTGAATATTTTAAGAAAAAATGGTTGGTCGCCCAATGAAAATTCTTTAAAAAATTCACGGGGCAGGGGCGTAATTAAGGGGGGGATTAGGGGGGCCAAAACTTTTTTTATGTAATTTTTTTTTATTTATTATATTGTGATAGTAAGATTATCATTATTATTATTGTTATTATTACGATTACTATTATTATTATTACGATTACTATTATTATTATTAACATTAAAATTTAAATTATTAAACATTTTGTTCTGGTGGGGTGGGGTTGGTTTACTGTATGAGGTGTACAGATTTTGCTAAAACCTATAATCCCCCCAAATCAAATTCCTAATTACGCCACTGCAGAGGGGGGCAAGGGACCGTGGCCCCCTCTCAAGCCCGTACCGTATTTATAAAAAAAATTATATTGTTAACAAAAAATGCATATTATAATATGTACTATCATACGACACACACAAGTATGTAGATAGAGCAATGAGGTATGACGGTTGAAAAGAGTATCTCCACACTTCGGAGACTCAAAACCTGGCTTCGTTCAATGATGACTGATGATAGACTATCAGCATTGTCTAATTAATGTATATCATAAAGTAGATATTCTAGATCAAATAGATTATATTATTGATATTTTTGCCAATTTTAAAAAATAGACGACTTGAATTTGTGTTGTAAAAATTGTTGTTTTCTTTTTGTTATAAGATTTTGTAAAATTATAACATGGCCCACCCCTAACCAAGGATCTGGAGCCGCCCCTGTGGTAACATATGTATTAATTATCTACAACCGTGATGATATTATGTAATTTAATACTGTGTGTTCACACGAACGCAGAACTATTGAGTGCTGAAAAGTTGGACGGCAAAAAATAATCATTTGCAGGCAACAGTTGATAAAAATATTTATAATTTATAAATAATACAATAAAATAGCAGCATATTACTCGTACATGCGATACATACTTTTTACAAATGAGGGCGGATTGTGGGGAAAAGTTCATTTTATTTTAGGAATTACTTAATTTTAAACTTTTTCCATTAATATTGGATAAATTATGTACACATTATTTATTTATAATGTAATTTAAAAAAATTTTCCAGGGGGCATATAACCCCCACATATTCTCCCCGTAAATACGTCATTCACATCTACAGCGAGTAGCACCCAAAAGGAGTTGATCACTCATAATTTTCTTACAGGGCAACGCCGGGTACCACCCATTCATTGATTATCGCTGCATTTCAAAAATAACAAAATATATGAACTAGAAATTTGACACAGTGGTCTTTCAAATACTTTAGACATGCAATAAGAAGAAAATTTAAAAAATATTGGCACTGGTAAAGACGGTTCCATGTCACAAACCGGGTAATTCAGCGTATAACCAAAATTATTATATTGATTGATTTCAAATTTCATTTTATTTGTTTTATAACTAACAACTACATCAAACTAGGCTATAAATATTGTAAGGTAATTCAGCTAGTATAAATATGAATATAACACTAAAATAATGTTACACTGCGTATGCAGATTGATATATAAAATCTTAGAGATAATAATTGTTATGGCCACCTCTTTACAGTGTTGGTTTGATTATGGCCTCTGACTCATGAAAGTGGTTAGGTTTCCTTATAGATGTTTACTTAGTGTTTGACTTTTATTTGCTCTTTAGACTTTGATGTTTGAAACTCAGTCTCAGAACTCAGTCTCAAATTGTATTGTTTTATACACTAAAATGTGTACGCTGTTATAATAATAAGGACCTAATAAGAATAAAGTGCCTGGTTACAATTAATAGGGAAAGCAATTTTTTTTGGTAATTTTTTAAAAAAAGTACAAAAAGCACTTTAGGTGTTAGGCCAACACTGCACTCTTATTATAATACAAATTTGTTGAAATTCCAAGCCCTTCATGTTAGTTAAAATATCAATTGGTAATATTTTCAAAAAACTACAAATTTTAACGTTTATTAAATTTTAATAGATTATTTTATAGATTATATTTTAAACTTAGAAGTAAATTTCATGAACAATAAATAGTAATCGAAACATAGAGTAGGAGGATTTGATTTTTTGATTTTAAAATAAATATTATAAAAACTATATAAAATTGAACAAAGAAAAAAAAAATACCAACAAAGTTGGTGCAATTGTAGTACCCTTTCCACACATTTTGTCATAAATTTCATGCTCCTAAAAAAAATGAAAAAAATATCATTATTAAAATATAACGAATGCAAATAAAGTAAAATATACAAATATAGTGTTTATTTATTTTTGTAATAGTTATGTAGAAGCTATATTTAATTTTAAAAAATAATATCTAATTTAAACTTGTTCATCAATATTAGAAAAACTTAAATTGTAATAAGATTAATTGAAATAGTAAAGAAATATTATTAATTAGTAAAATTATTATTTTCTAGTAAATCATATAAAAATATAAATAATAATAAAATAATGATAAGTAGGAATGTTAGTAGGTATACCATGACTTATTATAGAAATTGATAAATTAATCTGACGAATGGTAAATTTTAAATAAATTAAGTTATACAATAAGTATAGTCACTTACATCTGGATGAGTCCTAATGCAAGCGGTTTTAGGTCTACATCGTGGTAAACTGTTAGCTGCTTTATGACAACTCAATGACTCATTATATGGAACTTCTTGTGGCAAAGTATCAAATTTGACAGTTTTCGTCAATTTATCTTTACATTCATTGACGACCAGTAAAATTAAATTGGTATTCATTATTTTACGCAGTTCATATGGCCTGTAAAAATTTTAGATATATATTATATATAAAGCAAGGTAAGTTATATTTTAATTATGAATGTGATTACCTCGCACAAGATTTTCGCTCGACCTTTTCTGGGATTTTTGAAGCAAGCGTAAATAAATTAACTACACGATCGCAAGTCTTCGGTCGAGTTCGATGAATCATTACATATTTTAATGCTTTTTCACCTTCATATTTTAAATTTGAAGAAGTATCAGAACTGTAGTTATTTTCTTCATCTTCTTGGTAATCTGGGACTGAATATGTATTTGAAAAAATTATTATATTATGGTTCAATATTAAATAATCTTATTTAAAAAAAAAATAAAAATATGTATGATTACTGTCTTCAAATATGGCTTGAGCTTGAGACACCATCCATTGGAAATTGGAATGAGCTGCTAGCCATAGTAATCGTCCTATGAGCCACCCAATTAATTGTTTGACATGATGTATAGGCTAATAAGAAAAAAACAGTACAATATATTGGGTATTTATATAATAGTGTTAATGTGTACATATATTAAAATATTTAGAAATCGTTAATTAGGTTTCATTTTACATAAACAGTCTTTATGTAATTAGTGTTGGATAAAATACAAAACATTCTATAGCAGTTTAGAGGTAATACGCAATAATTTTCAACAATTTTAATTGGGACTTTTGGGAAGTGTATTAAAATATACAGTTTTATGAATATTTAATATGCTAAAATATTAGATTCAGTATTTATAAACTTAATGATTTTTTCAGATATATTCGTCAATCGACCATGGTTTAAACATGACATTATAAAGTATCAAATCCAAAATTAATTGATTAGTAGTAATACAATTATGAAAACATTTTTACAAATGACTTTAGAAAGCATTTAAATTATGTTTCTACAAGTTGCACAAAGTATTATACACCGTAGCGAGAAAAAAAAATTGTGGTAGGTAGTAATTGAATCTCACTCCAATATTTTGTTGCTTAGGGGCCCAAAGTAAATTTTTTGCGGAAGCCCAATCATGAGTCAGACTATCACTGGGGGAGGAGTTGGGTTATAAATATTCAAATTTGACGATTACTTTCTAAAAAAAAAATCCTATAACACTAATATTACTTAATTTGTTGATAATTTCCGACAGTATAAATACGTCATTCATATGGGAGGGGGGGAATTGCACATCCACAACACTACGCTGGCTCTGATGATAGAAATAATTGGAAGGAGATAGTTTTGGCGGTGAAGTTTTTCTTTAGTGGTTTCATCGAAAACCGGAAAAAAAAAATTAAATATGGAATACTTACAGTATACAAGAATGATGAACTATTTGCATCATCTTCTTTATCTGGTTTAAAACAAACTCCTTGATAATCATATATTATTATTTTTTTGTAAATTTTTTCTTCTACTAGCATATTCATAATTGATCCTTTGACATTACCAAAAAATTGGCCTGTTTCAATTATATTTTCTGATGCAATTATGTAACCGTTATTGTCAAGTATGTAACAATCTCGATCTGTGGCTAGACAAGTGTGTATTTCTGGTGTACAACCAGTTTCTGAGTAACACTAAGACAATTAAAAGCCATTGATTATATTCATATAAATAAACACAATCATTATTTAATTATATATATATATATATATATATATTCACGGATTATTTACTTGTCTTGTTATATTGGTAAATAATTCTTGAAGAGCTGAGTGTCTAAATTGATAACCAACAACTGCAGCTGCAGCTTTCTTTTTATTTTCTTTGCTTGTGACAAAAACTGCTTGACTTGCTGTTACCAAAGACGATTTTATGTTTTCTAAAATATTCAAGGATATATTAAATTAGTCTGATATTAATTTTTAGTTTATAAGATATGACAATGAATATATATTTATATATATATATATATATATATATATATATATATATGTACTGGTATGTATATTTTATTTAAAATAAATTATTGGTACCTACCTACCTATTTCACAAGTGAATAAGAGTTTAAATTTATAATTTAAAATAAAAAATTATATATTTATAAATCATACATTTTAAGTTGTGTTAAAAAAAAAATCTTTGTAAATAGTTTGGTAATAATGGAATCAGAATATTGACAATAGGCAATGACACCAATTCTGATTTTTAAACGTCATGTAATGTCCAACGTTTAACGTATAAACTTACAAGTACTAAACATTTTTGTGTTTTACAAATTATAAATATTTTAAAAAATTAGTAATTAATAATTTTAAAATATTAAACATTTACTTGTATAACTAATTTAACCTTTTAATTATCACATAGTTGTAGTCTTTTGAAAATATATTGTTTCATTAAACAATTAAAAAATTTAAAATCAAGATTTTAAAAATAAACTCACCATTTTCAAATGGTACAGAATATACATAGCTCTCATCATTTACCATATTATATTCTACGGCTCTTCTATACCAAACTTCTTCGATCGAATAAACGTTTTCATCAATGAAATGTCTAAATTGTTATCAATATTTATTAAATTGTAGTATAATGGACACATTGTTAAGTAAAAAAAAAAATCATCTTACTTTTTATTTTTTTCTGAATCATCAGAATCAGAAGGTATTTTGGTTTTGTCCTCGTAATTGTCATAATCCATCCATCGAGTGAGCCCACTGTGCGTAGCAACAAACGCTAATGTTACTCCAAATCTTTTTTCAAATTCGGTCCTAAGTACACATATAAATATAAATATATTTTGAATTGTATAAATTTTACCGTCATTTATAAATAATTTACCTTGGTAATAAACTCATCAAGACTGCTGCTGGACTTCATTAAGGGAAAATAGTGCAAAGTGTTATCGTGAAAACAATAAAATAGTGAATATAAAAGCGTGTGAGTAATGCGTGAATTGTGATTTATAGTTGCACTTATAAAACTAATGAAGCTTATAGTACCATAACATTTTTTAGATAATAATATTTTTAACTAGTTTTTGATAAAAATAAAAAAATATGGAAAAATATTTAAAAAATTAAGGTATGTATCAAAATTAAATAAAATTGTTCAAAATAATCATAAAAATTGAGTACACTTATCGATATTGTTGATTCATATTCATGTCAAGTACTATTAGTAATATTAGTAGTAACAAGGGTTCGGATTTTAAAGAATTTGCTTCTTTTTTTATGCATGAGAGATAAATCTAATTTTATCCATAAATTATTATTGTCATTTTAATTCTAGATGCACCAAACTATTTTTCGTCTTTTTTTATGTAAATGCTTTTTTATTGTTTTACTACATTTGCTCCAGATATGGAATTCGAATATGTTTATTGTGGTATAATAATAAAAAAATTTAATTTAATTAATAAGAATTGGAAAAAATCGCTTATGAGTTATGTATGTCAGTAGATACAGTAATTAAAGTGATTAAAGTATAAGAGGTACGGAGGATCGGAGTCCCTCTTTTTATTTAAGTTAAGATTTTGCATCCCCTTCCATTAAAATCTCCAAAGTCCAGTGGGACGCTAATCGGCGTTAGTATTTATCACATAAAGTAGTATATTATTATATGAAGTTTATTTTATTAAAAAAAATAATTATTAAATATTTAAATATTAATTAAATATTAATCGATTTGAACAAGTAAAAAACAAAGTAGAGGCTTTGAAGAAAAAATATTTATAATGATATAATATACATATTGCGATGTGTAAGAAATAAAAATAATATTTTCGTAATCGTGGGTTAACAGACGTTGTGTCTTATTAGACAGATACTCATTCCAGGCGCTTGTGTTGAAAACACTTCATATGTACCTACGGCATAAACATAGGCAACCTATACCGTACCCGACACGTGAGTGTGTGACTCACCATCCCATAATTTATTATTATTGGTTTTTCTAAAACTGAAGTGATATGTTATAGACAACAGTGGTGTAAATAGAGGGGGTCCCCAGTGGGCTACAGCCCCGCAACCGAAATGTTTTAAAAAACTTAAAAATTATTTTAAACATATGTTATATTTTAGATAGCAGTGGTAATTTAACTTTGTTTATAGTAGTTTTTTTAAAACAATTTTATGCTTTATTTTTATTTATTATGCTTTAAAATCCGAGTCCTTGTAATGTTATTAAATAAATTATTAAGAATTGTTATTAGTAAATAAAAATAATATTATTTCCAAAAAATGTTATTGCTACATTTTTGTAAACTGTTGTGCAAAGTGATTTGTGAATTAAACAATCTAACAATAATTCAATAACACGTAAAAAAAAAAATTACTTTTTTTTCTTTTCTGTGTCGTTTTTGGCTTCAGTAAAAATACCTTTTGTCAAGTTTGCATCATAGATTAAGTTAAGCATGAGATCTTTGTCACCTAAAATGATAATAAAAAAATATTTATTATTATTAATTATTTATTATAAATATTTATTACATCAGCAAGTAGATTTTATGCCATGCTCCACAGCTAGTTATAATTTTAAAGTATTAAAACTTTAATAGTTAGTTAAAAATCGTTATATATTATTTTCATGTATACATATATTAATTGAAGCTAATAGTATTAAAGCAAAATTAAAATAGAACATTAAAACTAATACCAATAGTATAATAATAATAAAAATCGTTTATAAGAATAATTAAATCAAGCTGTATTTAATACTTGTAATTTAATAATTGTATTTAAATTTTCAAATATATTTTATTTTTTGCTGAAACTATTGTAATGACAAATTACATTTATGCTACAACTATAGTTTACTAGAATACAATGATATCCCGGAATAAATGTAAATATTATAGTTTCATAATTTCCTTATACTATATATTTATACGCAATTTTGTATTTTTATAAAATAATTATTTAGAACAGGTTCATTTTGATGTGGGGCTGAATTCCAAAAAGTTTTTTTTGCGCATTGAACCTAATCTAATATAATATTCACCCATTATGCTATAATCGTTTCAATCATTAGCGCCGAATTATCTATTAGGCGGAGTAGGCGCCCGCCTTAGGGACTCACTCATTTAAGAGGCCCTGTTAAAAATGAAGACTATATTTTTTTTTATTTAATAATAACTGTATTTTATTTACGAATTTATGGGACGAAAGTCATTATGAAATATAATATACATTAAGTTGTAGGTGTTATATGCAGTAATAATAATAAAATTATTTTGAAAAAAATAGAAATAATATAATAATCAATTAATTTTTCTTGCAAATAAAAAATTGTAATAAATATGATTTAATTTATTAATAGTTGGTTATTATTAAGCTGTTTATTTTATATATATATATATATATATATATATATATAGTATAGTAAGTCTAGTAATGTTATAGATGTATGTAAAAAATAATATTGTAGGGTCCAAAATGTTAATTGCCTAGGGGCCCAGAAATGTTTAATCCGGCACTGTCAATCATTATTATATATTATATTATTATATCCAAATGATCTAACTATAGACTGTTAATTTATGTCTAAATTATGTGCAGAGGCGGATCCACAGTTAGAAAATTGTTGGTCAGACTATTTCAAGAAGCCACTTATTAGGGCTGAAACTGAATTATAAATACAAAAAAACAAGAAAAAACAACACAACAAAAACAAACCATATGACCATAAAATATGTGTTTTTAAGTTTATTCTTAATTATTATTGAAAACATTAACATTTATTTTATTTTATTGAGGTTCTGTCTTACATTGAACGTAGAGATGTTTTACTGTATTATACAATCAAACCAGTAACGTCATTTGGAGAGAGGAACCTGTCACATATGCCCTAGTTTAGTAATAACTAGTATTACCCTATAGTCGGCACACTTAAAATATAAATTTTAAAGAGGCCAATTTTGTCAACAAATATTAGCTGTGGGTCAGCTAACACTCTGAACCTCCTCTAGATCCGCCACTGATTATGAGGCACTAGACAGTCAAAATCTCATTTGACGTTCTTATGATGTCAGGTTCAGTTTACTATTTATTTATACCAATAATAAACATTTTTAAATAAAATTATTTAATAAAAAATAAAAAAAATATTGTTTTCCCACGTCTTCAATTTGCACAAAACATCACGATCAAGCTCGGCCATGCAATAAGATTAACACTAAACTCACAATTACATTTGCAATCGAATTTTTCTTCGGACTTTTTTGTCCCGTTTGCTGTGAAAATAAATAATTACTCACCCTACAACTCATAAACAATTTATAAAGCTATCATATTTATTTTATGGTATTGTTATTAACTATGTTCAAATGGAAAAAGTACACATCTTTTTAAAGATAAATTCATACTTACAATTATATGATTCACTGTAAAATCTCGGAGGAGGCCATTTATTCCAACTATTATTTTTTTGGCTAATTCTATTTAAAAAATGTCTAAGTTCCTCTTCTCGACTCTTAAAAGACGTGCGATTATCTTCATCATAATCATACCGACAGTAAAGCCTAAACATACCATAGTATTCCGTATTAAATAAGTATTTAAATTTTGAAGTGTTTTTCCAATCGATAACCATATAAATTTTTAAAGTTAAAATGTATTTATTTATTTACTAAATTATAAAAACTATTATTATTTATTGACTATAATTACGAAAAAATAATATGTGGTAATCATATGAAGTGTAATGAAATATCATTGATAATTTTATAATATATTCGTATATAAATAAATAAGCAAATAGTTTATATATAGAAATAAATAAATCAATAAAAGTTTTTCCTGGAGTATTATTATATCAATAAAGTATGAATGGTTTTGAATTAAAAATTTATCATCAGATATATATATATATATATATATGTGTGTGTGTCGCATCAAATAGTGGTATCACTCATTTCATGAACTGGACAATACATGTATTGTGTACTTTGTATAATTATTATAAAACCAGATATCATAGTATTATAACTAGGGCTTGGAAGTTGTAGAACTAAAAATGTTATTTTTTAGCTCTTAAATATGCATTTAAAAACTCAAAAATATGTGCTATAAATAGTACGAAAAATAAAAAAATATGCATTTATGTTGAAAAAATTATAAATTTATTAAAAAAAAATGAAATGTCATTTCACAAATATTTGGGCTCATAGACGTTTGGACTGGTTGAATTATAAACTTAACAAAAATGTTAAATTAATTAAATATATTTGTAAAAGTGTACTTATAATTAAATGATTTTATTTAGTCACTAACTATTAGTACATCAAATTGTCGTTGATAAAATAAAATAATAATTGATGAGGTCTATTTATTTCCAATAATTCAAATATTTTTAAAACTATAACTAATTAAATCATTATTATCAGCAAAATGTGATTTTTTCCTGTATTATGTGAAAATATTTCCAGAAATAGCACTATAATACCTTAAATTAGCAAAGTAACAATAAAACCCGTAAATATGCAAAAAATAGCAAAACTAAATTTTGTGTATGATATCCAAGTAGTTTGAAACATATTCATATCTTACTTTGGATGTTTTAGGATGAACCAAGAAAAATAAACATTTGCTAGAACTTCCGATTCCTGATTATAACTATACTTTTCTATATTGTTCTATGAACAAAAATACAACAATAATTATAGTCATAATAAATTATATCATGTTACATTATATTTTTATTTTATTTTTTATAAACCGTACTCATTCATTTATTATTTTTTATGAACAACAGTGTTACCTATGAAGTATTATAAAATATTCATAATACTTCATAACTATACCTATATGTATAATTATTTTTTATTATTTATTTTTACACGATAATTGATTATGGCATCGATTGTTACATATCACATTGTTTTAAACCTACTTGATTGGCAAGAAGTTTTCGCCTTACACGAACAAGGCAAAAATCTTTGCACTCCTGAGATTTTTTTAATAATTTCTCCCACCGAAAAGTCAACATTTTTATCAACTTGGTTAGTATTGAGAAATTGAGTTGTTGATTTTTTCAAACATTCACTACTGAACCATCCTTTTATTAAACCATATTTTGTTCCCATTTTATGTAATCCTTTTTTTTTTTGTTCCGTTATCACACAAATTATGTTTATAATTATTTAAATTGAAAAAAATGTTTTAAATTTAAATTTTATAAAATTTACTATATTCAAGGCTTAAATTAAAAAATATATGTATCATAATATTATAATATTAATATGAATTTTGACAAAATCGTCTTTAATAGTTCTGAATAATTAACTTATTTAATAATATTATTTTTTTTTTGTGTTATGTGCCCTTTTAAGATAATATTTAATTATGTTTGATGATATTTAATTTTAAGTATTAAAAAAAAAAAAAAAAATTAGTTATAAATTATAACATTTTAAATGTTAAGGGAGACCTATATTTTGTCGAAAAATATTTTTTGGGAACCATATTTCGTATTACTACTATGTATACTATTTATAAAATAATAAATACACGTAAAAACTGAAAGCACAATACCTAGTACCTATGATAGACACAAACACTCACTAAATGTTTTTTGTTGAACAACTTCGGAGTTACAAAGGTATCCATCAACCGTCATCCGATAAGGAAACATTTATTTAATATCAGATGTGGAATTACCGAAATTAAATTTTATATCACTTTCATAAAATATAGATCACGGATAAAACATTATTATCATAATTGATATTGAAAATTATGGTATGTAAGCTATTTATTGCTAAATAACATAACAATCTTGTTTTATAATAATTACACAAAGTGCACAATATAAGTATTATTCATCTCATGAAACGGATGTTCATTTAATGTATTTTCGTAAAAATTCACGATTTGGACGAATTTCACTATAATATATTACCAAATTATGGACATCCAGTTTATGAAATTAATGATTTCATTATGTGGATGCGACCTATATGTAGTTGATAAAATTACGACTGAATATGTAAAAATAAAAAAGTAACGTTAAAAATATATTTTAATTTACTAGTATTAACCATTTAATAATGTTTAATTTTAATTACATCATTATATTTTATTATTTGATAATTTAAAGTTTCTATAAGCTCAAGATATATATATAAATTAGATTTCTTTTATGATATTTTATACTTAGCTATATTAACACCCTAGTGAGTAAATTCTAATTATAGTAATTATTAATAATAAATAATTCAATTTAAACTCTAGTAGAAAATGAAACACTTATATTTCAAATTTAATTAAATAATAGAGAATTTATAATTACCAATCTGGATGAATTCTCCATTCGTCATCTTTGAAATAATCCAAAAGGGATGCTCCTATATGAAACATTTTTTTTAAATTAAATTAAATGTTTGTAATATTTTAAGAGATGATAATCACTTGTTGTATTCAGGCTTTGAAATCTGTCAGGAATTTTTACCCTGTATCCAAAATGTTTCTCTTGTAAAGCAACTACTAAAGTAAAAGGCGTTCCTTCGACGACTGAATAGTAATAATGCCTGTCAGCTGTAGTTGCTCGTCTCTTAATGGTACAAATGTTTTATTAAATTTTAATAATTTCAATATTTAAATTTAACTGTCTTATTACTCTAATATTTGAATATATTTTTATATTAAATTAATCAATCTATAAATTACATTTTTTGTAAATGTAAAATCAATATTCAACAATACAAAGAAAAAAACTACGACACAGTTAATATTTAATTTAAATAATATTTTGATACTTATGAAGTAATTGGAAATGATTATAAAATGTATAACAGTTTGTTAGATATAGTTTTATCACACTTATATGATTTAGATAAAGACCTACGTGGAAAAATAGCTTGGAATTAATCTGGTAATCTGTATAGAAATGACGGGTTGCAGAACTAATAAACATAATACATTTAATTGTGAGCTGATACTTCCTTAAACATGATGTAGGGGGCCTATGATTTGGTATACTTAAGATTCTAAACCATGTTTTTTTTTGTAATTTACAATGTAACCACCACAACTATTAAAAAAGTAAAAAACTGTTTTACAAAAAATTAAAATATTTATTTAAACAAACTTTCAACAAATTTAGTCAAACGAAGATGAATTCAAAAACTGGTAACAAAGTCTTGAAATTATTCAAATTGTGTTTTATTAATTAAATAAATTTAAATAATTAAATATACGTCTTAATTATGTATGACTTAATCACTTATTATTATTATTATTATTATTGTCTTATTTTTTTTTAATGAAATAAATAAAGTGTGTACCATGTCGTCATAATGATATTTGACGGTTATTTCTTGATCGCCTGTTGTCTGATTTATGATGTAATCACGAAGCTGTAAAAAGTACAAAGGATAAAATATTCAGTTTCGAGTGCGTGAAAACAATGTGATTAATATTGTTGAAATCATTTTTTGTAACAAAAAACATTAAATTGATTAGTTATGCTATAACAATTTTTAGTATAATTGTTAATCAATGACCGTGATAATGATGAACTGGCAGAATTTTGAATCTAATAATCTTATATAAAGCGTCAATAGTCTCAAAACAAAACATTTACAAGTAAGATTTTCTAACTACGTATTTATTTTTAGTGTTCAAAATAATTACCATCTTGAATTTTACAATGATTAAGAACTTAGTAAGTATTTTTCATTAATTTATAATTTTTATGAATATATATAAAATCATCAAAAATAATTTTAAATATGAAATTACTCAAATATTTTTGTTAAAATTACATACAAATGAGTACTATTATATATTTATTAATTTGGTATATTTTTTTTATTAAACCATTTCAAACAAAGTGATTATTAGTCAATATGAAATTTTAAATACTACGTGTATTTGGCTCTAATTTTATTTATCTTAATTTTCTATTGAATATAAAATTATTGTTTTAAATCCAAAAATACTGGTAATATTATAGATAATCATATATTATTAAATATTATAGATAATTCTGAAAGAACTTATTTAAAATATTTTATTGTTTTCTTGTTAATGAAATTGTCTTAATCATAATAAATAATTGATGATAGTATTTGTTTTGCGTATAGTTTATATTCAATACACAATTCATTCTATAACAACGTAAAACTTTTAAATTTTTGACTATCCTTGGAATTGATTCACAATAATTTTATACAAAAAACTTTTTTTTTGTAAATCATTTTTAAATCAATACATTTTGCTAAGAATTATTATAATTTAAAAACATGCATGTTGCCTATGCCTATCATAGTTAGACATTCTTAATTGGAAATTATTTTTAGACGTGGAAATATTTACTATAAATAATAATTGTTTAACTAAAATCGTTTAGAAATACTTTTGTAAATTAATTTAATGAGTAATTAATTTAATTTTAAATTATAATCTATAATAAACTAGCTTTATCTAACAATATATTAAATATGAGGTTATTTTTAAAATTAAATCAATATTGAGAAATAATTTACTTATATGTTGATTAATGTTTTAATAAATAAACAGGTGTTTTGTTTAGCAGTAATTACCTTTTCTCGTTTTGACTGCAAATGTATCAAAAATGCACCTAACATTGAAAATCCGGGAACTATCATGGATAAAGTTATTAAACTGCAGAATGAAACAATAAACCTTCAAAAAAACAGTACTATCTCAACTGCTCAGAAAAATGAAACCATTGTCAAAAATAATAATTTAGAAGCTAAGCATAAATCAAAAATTCGTCAAGTATCAGCAGATACTCCAATAATTGCTTCTACATTGATAGATGATATGAATGCAGAACAATCATATTACCCTAGCCCTTTAATGGTGTACCCATTTCCTATGATGAATACATATTATCCTAGATACTTCCCATACATTTACCCCGGAAACCAAGGTAATCATTTCTTTGGTTAATAATTAGAATAACATAACAATAAACAATATGAAACAATAGTCAATAATTGTTACAAAATTATTTATCAACAATTAAAATGTTAAGTACTAACCGTAAGAATACTTTGATCAAATTCCCTTGGATTATTATCTGAATCTACGAGTTCCACTTCAGTCAGATCAATACTATTGTAATTCGGCTTTAAAATATCTTCAAACTAAAAATATTAATTTTTGTAAAAATAATTTACCATAAGAGCAATTTCAATAAGTATATTATAATTAGTTATTAATTAACACATTTATTATATGTGTAATAGAACTATATAAATAGCTGTATAATATAATAACAGTGCATTTTCAAATGTAAGAATAACATAGCTATTATAATTTGTTTATTTTACAAATAAGTGGTGAGTTAGATACTATAATGAAACTAAAACTTAAAAATTACTTAGGAAAATACTGTGGCAAATTGATGGCTTTATAATTGAGAACGGAGAATATAGAAGGAGAACTAACCAGGAAATTTAATAATTATTTTATAAACTCATTATCAGTTTATATCTAAAAAGCAAAATATTAGAATGGACAAGTCATAATTGAAGGTCTGAAGGTATAGCGAAAAACATTTTTACTGAGAGATTGAATAGAAAATGGCTTAGGGACCGGCCGAGATAAAGATGGGCATAAAGAGTGAAGATGGATCTTATGGAAATTTCAGAGGAAACTAGAATTAAAGACAATGAAGACAGAGATAGGTATATATATAGAGAGGTGTGGTCGTGGCAGCAAAAGTCCACAAAAACTAGAGAAGAAAAAGAAAAATTAAAACGTTTAAGGATAATAAAAGCAATTCAATGAAAAGTCGTGTATTTAAATTATAGAATCTAGACCAAAGGTTCCCAACATTTTTTGACTCACGGCACTCTTTATTATTTTCTAAAAATGTGGAGACACCCTATAACCTATGCCCTATATTCTATAGTTTATACTGAATACGCAATACTAATATACTGTATATTGAATATTGCATATTGTATATTGTATATTGAAATTTATATTTTGTAACTTCGGTTTTATTTAGCATTAATAAACAATAAAGATAAGATAAAGTCACAAGTATTTCACCGTAAATAACTTTAAAACAGTTCACATCAAATCGATAGCAATCGAACCAGTATGAAAATTAAAACAGATTGAACATCTCAGTTTACTATGTAAAAATTATATATGTTAATAATTAATTCATTAAATTATATTGTATAAACCTAATTAATTAAACACAATAGGTTTTATACTATAGACATAGAGTATAGTCTGTTTTATTACTCACAGTGCTATATTTTTCATGAAGGCGTTTAAAAATAAATATATAATTCAAATATTTTTGCGGCACCCTAAATTTATTCTCACAGTACCCTAGGGTGCCATGGCACCCTGGTTGGGAACCTCTGATGTAGGCTGTTGCAGTGCCTGCCCGACGGTTTTCGAGTCCCCGTGCAGAATTTTGCGGAGCCTAACCTACATATATTAATTAATTATTTATTTATATACATCTATGTTTATTTATATTATTATGTAACTAAATATATACTAGAACTATATTTTGAACCGTTATCGACGGTAAACAATTTTAAAAGTACATGCGTGTAAAATACTGCATAGCTATGTATAATTGGTATCGTCTTAATTTTCGTTGATAACAACCCGTTTCCTGAGAAAACCACACGATCACACGGGTTGCGATTTGTGTGCTACTGGGACTATATTATTTTTATTTATAGATAACGTGCTATTCGTAATACATAATTTGTGGGGCGCGGAGCGATTGCACCGCTTGCCCACCCCTCTCTTAGGGCCGACACTGGGTTTTGGGTGATAAAGTCATAAAGATATTGGTTACCCAAAATGAACAGTGTTGAATAATCATTTATTTTATAAATAATTCAGAATAAACAATTCTGGGTTAAGATGTCTTATAGCTATTTACTAAAATCCTGATCCATAAAAATTAACAACCATCGATTTCATCTTAAAAAATATTTTTATAGGTATTTATATAATTCTTATATTAATAATTTCTTATTTTGTTAATCAACAGTAAAACTTTTGTAGTATTGATATTTGATGTAACTTAATAAAAATATGTATACATTTGGATGAAGGATTGTTATTTATGTTATTAAAATTATGTGTTAACCGTCAACCTTTGATATTAAATGTTACTTACGACTGGTCTGAGATCTGGATGCGTCACAATAAAACCATTGTTAGTAACAATAAATGCATAGTTATTGACACCCAACTGAAAAGAATTACAAGGAATATATATTTGTATATAAAGAGTATATCAATGTACGTACTAAATGAGGTGACATTGCTTCTCGTAAGTCTGATTCAGGAACATCAGTTCCAACAACACCAAGTAAATGAGCCACTTTAGTCTGTAAAGATCAAACATGTTTACTTAAAATACGTTTTTACATATTGTATGTATCAAATGGGTGCTATGCTCAAATTTACCCTTTTAATAATCGCACACCTGAAACTAGTAATATATTGTCAACGAAAAAATAAAACAACACTAACAAAATATTATTCTACTCTATCAGGCTTAAATTAAATAAATTTAAGATTTTATTTTATGTCTACAATTTACTTATAATACAAATTACATTTGATTTTCTACGCGCTAGTCTTTGACTAAGATAAATAAAACACCTTGAAAAAATTGAATTGGGGTTCAATCAGGCCAAGTAGCTATTTGAAGGCAAACCAAATATTAGTTCTAACTATATTATTTCTAACTAGATACCTAAATAAATATAATTAAAACGTATCAGACCCTTAATCTATCACCATTATTTAGAAGTTCTATCTAAGGAAACGTTATGGCTAAGCCTAGAGTTCTAGGCATTCTAATTCATTACATTTAATCTATCAAATGAGTTACCGATATTCGACGACACTTAATTTTAATACTAATACACAAAAGTTGATAGTAGAAACAGAATCTTCTGATAGAAGAATTAGTGTCAACATATAAACGAAATAATGTACTATATTAACATGAATATTAAGATTTTTCTAAGGATGACCAAAAATATAATGGCAGACTACCTGTTGAATTATTAAATACCTCTCTTGTTTCCCAAACCCAGTAGTTATCATTTATTAGCCTTCTTATTGTGATATTCTGTTGGGAAATAATTATTAAACATGTTTAGTTATTAATATAAAATAGATATTTGTTCAGTAGATATTAATTTAAATATGTATATTATCATTTATTACTAATTTTTGGTAAATAATACAGAATTTGTATGTTTTATTTATATTAACTTTATAAATAGTCATAAATTAAATTTAGCTTTAAACTTTTGATCTGATTTTAACTTCAGTTTCAAAATGTATTTAATTTTTCTGTTTTTATTTTTTAAATTTTTATCCTGCAGATTGAAAAAATTTATAATTTTATTTTCGAACGAAACATTTATAATCACCTACGCAAAAATACAAATTACTGAAATTATCTATTTATTATAATCAGAAGATTTATTAATGTTTTTTGATAAAATATAAATTAAATAATGAGACTAAATAACTAATATTATTGTTTACAGTGCTTATATGTGATTAAAAAATTGTGTTTCAATATATAGGCGGAAATTGAGTCACATTTTGGAAGGGAAAGATTACATTTTTTCAGTATAGTTTATATTTAAATAAACAAGTAAACCATGGAAACCAACATTTGGATTTATACTTAATTTTCACCATACTTATTTCATTTTTGGGAATTAAGTTAGAATTAAGTTCTTAAGTAAGTTGTTGGTTACCTTCCTACTCAATTTTCGCCCATGTTTTAGTGTCTTAAATAATTGTATATCAGCTATGTAAATTTTGAATATTTTAACTGATAAATTGTTATTTATTATATATACCTATATACATCAATATTTGAGTAATGTCCGGTCAATGACACAATACCTTATAAAATTAAGCAAATAAATCAATTGTTGTTAAAATATAAATCAAATAGGCTGGGAACTGTGAATATTGGTAATTACTACCAATTGGACGAATAATTTATACTAATATATATACATCAAAACAATATATATTTATTAAAGTTCAAAGTAAAAATGTATTCATAATTTTTTATTTTAATAATTTATTATATTTTGTAGTAATATTTTCTAGCAGATTTTATATTTATTTTATTTTAGTATTATTTTTTCCCGTTCTCTGTTTTCCAAATAACCAAATTATTTAATAGTGATAACAATGACTTTTATGCTCATGAACCATAACCACAAAATCTAATTCATATAAACTTCTAAGCAACAATAAGAACGAAATCCATGATTGTAGACATAAAATTCCCTCCGATCGGCGAGCGAAAACCTTTATATTATTTGCAAGTATAACGTTTGGTATTTTTAAATTTAATAAAGCTTTGGTGTATCATTTTTCTACTATTTCTTATTCTAACATCGATGATTTCAACAATACTCTTAAATAAAAGTATGATTAATAATTAAAAAAAAAAAAGAATATTAATTAACAACTGTAGGATATTTTATTGAACATTGTTTATACAGAACCTATACTATATTTTTAGTTAGTTAAAATTATCGATAATTATGAAAGATGAATTTAATTCCTAATAATAATGAAATATAATTTGAATTATATACATTCAGAGTTAATAGTTCATATGCTTGGCAAGGTTATAACGACGTATAATTTATAGTTTAAATTTATTATTTCAACTGATCGAGATAATCAATTACCAGTGCAATTACTAGCAGCCACTAGATAGATATAAATATAAGGTAAGACATAAAATTTTAACCTTAAGTTATTTAATATAATTAAAATACCTTTTTTAATATAGGAAAAGTGATATTATATTATCTTATTATTATAACGAATAGATTAGTCATTGAATATATGAAAGTAAACAGTGGTGTATATTCAAATTTTCTATGAGGAGGGGAGAGGGTTTAAAAAAAATAATGCACTCCAAAAACTAAAAGGATAATGTTTTTAATGGGCCGGTCATTAATATATCCTACCCTAGCAAATATTGAAATTACGCTCCTATTTTACTCTTAGCTCAAAGCGTAACAATAAATATTTTAAAATATCACTTCATATTTTTTTTTGCCCCTGGGGGAGTTAGATACACATACAATCTCGTGAATATTATCTAAAAAATAATATAAACACCAGTCTATTCTTGCAGGAAAGATCTTCTAAACTCTTAAAAAACTACAACTTAACAATTTTAGTGTATTTTATGATACATAATTTTCAATAAAACTTATATTAATAATAAAGATTTTAAATTCAATGTTACCACTAAATTGTATATTAGATTGAATACTAGCATTACGTATTAGGTAAAAATGTAAAAGAGTGATAAACTGGTTGGATGAAGTACAGGGATGTAGATAGTTAATATAACTGAATTGTTCTTATAAATTTGAATTTAATGTACCATTGATTTCGAAGTACAATTCTGATTGAAGGATATCGGGTGGACCAGCCGTTATATCTAAACATAGTTTATATGACTATATTACTATAAACATCAAATAAAGTCATAATCAGGTTGGTTTTACAAACTTAAATATAAAAAAAAAAAAAAAAAATCGCATATAAGTATAACCTTTTCATATTGATTCGATTAATTTAATATTCATTCTTAAAATTACTATAAAATGTAAATAATTACAATATACAAGTAAATCTAGTTTTTGTTTAAGATCTCCACGGTAAATATTAATAAACAACAAAATAGTTAACGTAATTTAATCGAAATTCATATAAATTTTTGGATAACTTGTTAAATGATAGATTAAAATATCTGATTTTTAAATAATTGTTATGACTTTTCAGCAATCTTTTTTTCATTTTTACTACAAAAAAGATTTTTAATAATTGTACATTCAATTTTCAAATTATAAATTAATTAAAAAAATTCTTCACATTTTCATAATTTTGCCAACATTTGAATATTAAAATAATTAAAAAAAAAATGTTGTTATCATGTACTTGTATTTTTTATATTTTTATACTGTTGTGAAAGAACCTACGAGGAGTTTTATAAAACAATTTTAAGTTTATTATATCTAAAAATAAAAATTTTATCAGACTATAATAACCTATAAAAATATTTAAAAAAAAACCAAACATTTTAAGTGCCTATAAATGACATAACAAACTTTTACATCTCTAGAAATTCGTATTATTGTATTTATTGAGTTTCTACGAATATTGTTTTTTGCGTCATAATGAAAAAAAATTTTGGTTTTGACAAAACCAATAGATATTTCGTAAATGTTGCCATTTTTTATTGTAATTTTTTTTAGTTTGAAAAGCTATTGAGAAATTTAAATAATAACCTTAATAACGTTACAGTAACGCGTTACTTTCCATTATGTTACTAGTTAACACTGTAAATACATAATATAGCCTAAATTAATTTAATATCGTTAATTGTTATGTTTCAATTTATAAAATAAAGAAAATATTTGGTAATTATAAATTTTTATTTTTATATAGTATAAGTTCCGATTTGATAAGTTAGTGTCATAATAGATCAGGGATGGTAAGCCTTTTGAACACTGCGTGCCCAAAATTACCTTTTTTTTTTTTATAGAGTGTGCCATGAAAAAAATATATTTTGTTACATTATAATTTGAATATATTAATTACATTAATAATTAATACATTAATTAATGTATTAGTATAAAAAGGTTAATTTAGGTACATAATAATAATAATAATAATAATAATTATAATATTATTGCTTTGTTAAATATTTATATTATATTATATTATTGTACTAATATTATATAATATATAATAGTAAAAATGTTTGCGTGCCATGAATTTACCATCACTGTTATAGATGAACAAGCATAGACGTGTTTACAGAATCCCTCCCCCTCCCGGCGGAATGTGCCATCAACAAAATCATATTAGGATAAAAAAATTCATGCGATCTGTACTCATTACATACCAATAGTTTCAGTAGAGTACAGTAAAGTAGTACAATGTACGTGTTTTTATTTGAATTTTAAATGTATTTTTATTATTCATGTCTACAAACAAAAAAAGTCTCATGATTTAAAAATTTATTACGACCCCTCGGCCACCAAAATCTGAACGTACGTAAACAAGTTAGACCAGTAAGAAAAAATTTAATTTGTAAATGTATTTATAAATTAATTCAGAATAAATAATTATTAAATTATTTTCAACAAAATTTGAACACATTAAGAAATGTTTTTTTTTATTTAAAAGATAAAGATGATTTTGTTATTGTATAAACCAACTAGATATAGTTCTCAAATTATTAATTTTTTTCTTATTTAGTAAGTGCATATCAACCAGACATTCATAATAAAGACCGATTTTCTATTGACCATTAATATAGGTACATAATAATCAATGGATATAATGTTTAATTGTAACAAATAACTCATTAAACTTATATGTACTAGTGAAAATCTGTTTAATCTTGGTTTTTTATATAATGACTAGGAATTGTATGTATTACCAAACATATTCGGTAATATATAAAATTATTTAAACGGCCTAGGCATTATTTGAAATGCCAAACAATGCATATGTTATGTACTAAATGTATCTTATCGACATTGATAATGTAATATTGAAAAGTTATGATGGATTTCAACTATTTAGAGGTTAAGTTGATAATTATTTACAGCTGTACAGTCTATTTGAAATTTTCACATTTCAGTCTTCCATAAAATTTAGAGCGTGGATAATCAAGTGCGCGATATAAAACATCTTTTAAATACTGAACTATTAAAGCGACAATGTGATTTAAAACATAGTACATTTTTAACTAATGAACGATATAATAAATGAATAAAACATGTTGCTAATGCGAAATTGAAAACCAAAATAAAAAGAGCCACGTGACCGGTTACTTAAAAAAATATTATGTTTTGGACATTGATAATAATAGTTAACAGATTTATCTTATTAACATATACAATTATATATTTTTGCATTAATAGAATATTTTAAATAATATGTATTTTATCTCAACAATAACAAAATCAAGATTTAAAATAAATAATAAAATTTAATAAAAATTAAAATCTCTGTACCAATATAAGATTTTAGTTATTAATTTTTATGTATTCGTATATTCTGTAATAATTGGTACTTCTAAAAAAATATATTATATAATATATAAATATATATAAAATAAAATAAATTGGCTTAGGTGTTTAGTATCATTATGAAAAAAAATAAATGGATTTCCCTATTCTACACATTGCTAATATTTTGTTCGTAATTTTATTAAATGTCTAGTTGTTATATAAAATAGCTAGGAAATGTATATAAAATATAAATATTTTACACTTCTTTAAAAATGGCTAGGTATTACATAAAAGTTCTAGCAATTATATAAAATGCCATGATATAATGATTTTCGCTAACATATATATATATTACAATTAAACACTTATTTATTAATAAGTTATCAAGCATTTTCAATTTTCTTAAATTGAATGCTGCAATGTAAAATATATATTCTAGTATATTATATTTGACTTTTATTCGTCCAAAAAAAATATTTTGTCAATTAAATTAATACAATTTAGAAGATAATAAAGATTTTATAAACTTACCATTTCAGTTTTTTTATCAAATGCTGGCATTGCAAGGGATGTTATCAAATTATATTTCTTTTGTCTATTTATATTTAAATTTTGATTTAATTCCTGTGAATATAATTAAAAATAATTGAATTATTCCCTCACGAAATAAATAAAATAATATACGTACTTGTTTCATCCGGCTATGTTTTCGTTTTGCTTCATTAATGGGATAAAAAAATTGGTCTTTTGTTTTTTTATAACTTATCGTATCCGTTCGCTGTTGAAGGCATTCTTTTATTTCCCATTCATAATCAGTCATTTTTGGATCCTATTAAATTATCATACAGTTATTTTTGAACGAAATATATTAAGATATGTTAAATTAGCATTACAATGACATCAGCATATAATGGTGTCCAAATTACTGGATGATGTGATTGATGTAATACCAAAGGTCTGGCCATTACTGGTAAATAATGAACCACTTGTTCTCGAACTTCTTCTACAGTACTTAAATGAACAAAATATCCTAAAAATAGAAAACAAATATATTTATTTTTTTTTTCAATATATTTAAAAATATGTTTTAAATATTTACCATGATTTGCACAAGCCATCCATTTCATATCTCTAATTTCTGGAACTTCTCGGCCAATCAAATATGTAAAAACTCTAACTGGCATACCCATTGTACCATTTTTCCAGTTATGAGACTTAAATAGTTCATAAAAGTTTTCTGGCACGCCATCAGTGACCAACATAATTGCTTGATTACACATAGCACCCATATTTCGTTCACGGTACTAGAATTGCAATTTGTTTCATATTGCCAAAATTGTTTTAATTTCAAAAGAATATAAATGTAACAACATAATATTGATTTCAATCATTAAGTACCTTTTCAAGTGTCTCAAATGCCCTTGTTAATGCTTCACTAAAATCTGAAATATTATTTGGTTCAGCAATATGTTCTACGCCTAATTTTAGTTCTCTTATATTTGCAAGTGTTGCCTGAAAAATCAATAAATTATTTATCTATTAAACTCATTACATTTAAATAAATAAATCTCATTGTATATAAAAAATCAAATTTATAATTTAAAGGAATTAGAAATTTTTCTTATTAAATAATGTTTTAATAGTATTTGTATACCTGTACAAGTAATCCTTCGAAGCATGGTACAACTTCATTTGTTACATTACTAAAAACAAGCACATTCACAAAGTCGTTTACAGATAGTGTGTCCAACAATGTATTTATCACATGCCTGGCAATAATTTTACTTTGCCCCATCATTGATCCAGAATTATCAACTAAAATAAGAATGTCTTTTGGGCTAGCAGCTGCTTCTACATACCAAGGTCTCATTCGGCAGTCATACAAGTCTACAGGTTTATTTGGCCATTCCATTGCTAAAAACAAAAGATAATCAAGTTATAAAATAGTTACTATTACGAGTAAATTATAAAAATTAAATTAAACCATTATTTCTTGTGTTAAATATTTGTAAAATTAATAATTACACTATATTATGAATTTCATAAAATTATCTAATAAATATCAATGAGCTTAATATAAATTGTATATTTATATCTAATTAAAAATAAAAACTATAAAATAGATTATTGCCTATCATTTTCTTTTTTTAACTAAAATTGAGTACGATATACATCGTTGATCATATACGAGTTCAAAATTAAAAATTATTAATATTATTCATAATATTTGTTAAAAATTAACAAAGAAATGTAAATTCCTACTTTTTTTTTTTTTTTTTTGGAAGGAGAATTTAAATTAATTTATAAAAAAAGGTTAGAATTTAAAATTTTTAATTCAAAATAGCGATTAAGAACCAGTTTAAACATTTAATGATAGTCAATAAACAGTAAGTAACTAGTTAAATATTGTATAATAAATGCTCTATTTGGAAAAAATATAAGTAAAACTATTGTTAGAGAAATGTTTCCTACATTTTTTCAAATTTAATCATACAGTATAGAGTTTTAGTATACTATTAGTTCCATACAAAGGCACAACTAGTGGTGGGGTCTGGGGTTGTACCCCCCTCCCCCGAAATTTTTCTGAGGTTTTTACAAATTCTACGTAGGAAAAAAAATAGTTTATCTTGAAGATGCGAAATAGCTGAATGATATGAAATACAAATATTATTCATATTATTATTCATAACAATAATAAAATGACAATATGGAACGTTTTGTAACGTTCTGTTCAACTTTAAAACATCAATAATCTTGCTACTACGATTTCTCTATAGTTGATTATCGATTGTATAATAATTTTTTTTTGTGGTATCACAATATGAAATAGAAGTTAAACAGTTTAATTTGTAATTTAAATATTTTACTCATAAACCTAATTTAATCTTACTTCCTTATCGCCACCAAATACCCGCAGAAAATGTTTATTTTTTCCAAGTTCTTTGAAAAATGATGTCTATCTATGAAATTGACATGTAAAGCGAACAGTGGTATAAGCCTTATAAGAAAATTGTTACATAAAATAACAAATTAGACCACACGTTCTATTAGAAACTTCACATAGTTGTGATGATCGAAGCGATCTTTTTGGTCGAAATCATAAAAACACAAAAAAACACACACACCATAGGTAGTAAAATCAATAAATGAATTCCTTGTTTCACTCGTAATCTAAAAAATAATTAAATAAATAATTTCTTTTTAGTTTCAAAAAGACTTTTAGATTAAAATAGTACGTAATATCTATTCGTAAAATGTAAAAGTTAATTTTATACTATTTTAAAAATGAAGTTTGTTTCTTAAATTTATAAAAGCAAGTTTGTTAAAAATACAATAAAGCAAGCCAAAATAATTTCTAAACTAATTTCAAATATTTTTACTGAATAATAATATGATTTAATATAAATCATATTATGTTATTACATCATACATCATATCAATACGATTTTTTTTTTTAATATTTCATATTCTATTTTAAAATTATTATTTGATTCTTAATATACCTAAGCTTATTTCAATTTATATAATCCTAATATTTATGTCTATTCTAATTTGCATTCAGAGTATAAAATATTATAAAATAATAAATTAAATGAATAACACCTGAATAATTTAGTATTTTTACCTGGATACTGTCTCATGAAACCAGTTGTACTGCCAAAATATTGCCATGATAATCTTGGATCTTTTTCATAATTTTTTTTAAATGTTTCATCGAGGTGTTCAGACCATTTTATAGCTTTAATTACATCAGATGCTATATTATAAAAGTTTAAAATATAATTAGTTATTATTTCATAAATTAAAATTTACTTGAATTATTAAAATATTTTAAAATGATTTATATAATTGTAAATCATTGACTTACCTCTATCATATACATAAGTTGGTACATGCACAGAACTATATGATACATTTACAGGAGTGTTGTAAAAATGAGAATTCACAGTTAAGTAATCTAATGGTAAACTTGTATTGACTGTTGCTGTTTTTGGTTTAGCATTTCGAACCTTATATTCATTTCCCGGAGCTGCTTTGTCATGGGCAGAAACAGCAACTTCTTCAACAATATCCAAAATTCTCTGAAGAATAATTTGAAAAATCAACTGTTTTATTGAACGCATTTATCAGTAATGTTAAAAATTCTATTAAGTTTTTACATTGTACGAGTACATAAATTTTTAATATCTGTCTTATATATGTTTTATAAATAGGAACTTATTCAAATTAGTTAGTACTACTTGGTTTTAAGTTATAACAAATAATGATGTATAAATTATTTTATTACTTTTAAAGCTTGATGTTTTTTATCCATCATTGACTTAATTACACTTGAAATGTTTGCTGCTAAAACTTGTCCATTTCTTCCTTCTAATTTAGCTTCTTTATTATATTTCTGTGGATAAATACATACTTATTATGTGATATATATATATATATATCAATTATTAACTTTTTTTTAAAATAGCATAACAACTATAATACTTTATTAATGGATATTTATATTATATCTAATGACTCATTGAATTTTTAAAAATAATGAATATTGTAAAATAATGATTTAAGATTAAGTACAAAAAAAAATTAAAAATTATGCTACGAGGTTATACAAAAATTGGTCGTATTTATTTAATCGAAAGTATTTTTATATTGTAGATATCAAAATGTAAATTTCTTTAAGAATTTGAGAACACAAAAGTAATATCCAATTTATAAAAATATTTTGTGGACTTTTCAATTACAATCTAGGTTGCCTTTATAGATTAAATATTGAATATAATAAGATATATTTCTTATTATTATTTTGACTTTACAAAATCACATTTTTAACACTCGATGTAATATATAATATATAATATACAATATACAAATATATACAAACACATTGATCGAGAAAATTGCATAAAAACAAAAATATTTTAAGTTTAATGTAGGGTAGTAGATACAATTCAAAAAATAATAATCAATAGAAACTTTGAATATAATAATATAATAATTCTATATTTTTGTATCTTATAAACGTAATATAATTTTGGAATAAATTTAAAAAGTTTCGCTCCACTACTTTATTCTTACTCTACATGAATACGAATATTATGTTATCCGTAGCTCTTTAGTTCCTATACTAAAACTCTCTATACTTAACAGTCACAGATTCAGAATTATTTTTTTAATATAAATATAAAAGTTTTTTTAAAAATGTTATGTTGTAAATAAGTCATAACTATAGAGCATTAATATGTAGATGGTATAATAATATAATCTTATATTTGAGGAATTGAGGCTCTTCGTGTTTTTTTTCTTGAATTAAAACCTTGCCTAATAAGTCATAACTAGTAACAATAGCTATACTCGTAGCAGAACATAGCCAGTGGCGTATTTTCATGAGTGGTTCCCAGGTCTTGACCCCCAGAAGAAAAATGTTCAAAAACCATAAATGACTTGTTACGAAGGTATAGAGAAAGAAAACATTAATTTATATAAACTGGTTGTAAATAAGTCTCCATTTGTATTTAAAATAATAATTTAATAGTATAGCTCCACTCCTTCGTTCTAACTTAACTATACCCATCAAAATCATCCTATATAAAACTCTTCTTCAACAAATCTCAGTGCATTGTTTAACTAATTAACTAGGTGACACAAATATCACCCAGTGATTATACTCTGTCGATAATATTTTGAAAGATTGGGTAAAATAATGCGAAACCAACGTATAATACAATAATCGTACTATGGTATTACATTGACTATTTTGAGAAAAACATTTTTTGTCGCTCAGTGAAAATTCCTTATAAAATGCACTGACCAATCTGGACGTATGGCATCGCAATCTGGGGCTCTGTAAAGAACTCAAATAAAAGAACTATTCAAGCTTTCCAAAACATCTTTCAATGCGTAATCACTGGTGCACCCTGGTTTGTCTCAAATGAGTCACTAAATTCCGACATCAAAGAAACTGCTGCTATCTTCTACAAGCGCTTCCATTCCAAGCTGCGAAATAATCCAAATCAACTGATCAACGAATTAGCTTCACTTACACTTCCTGGCAACCCAACTAAACGCCTCAAAAAGAACTGATGTCGCGATTTACTAAAAGATAAGCAAAGAACCTAACCGCCCACCATTATGGGATTCCCGACTTACCGCCTGCTATACTGATGAATGTGACATTCCAACGCTTCAATCGTGGTTGAAAACCAAACTTTCAGTTCTATAATAATTAAGTACTTAATAATATTCAGGGGTGTCACAAATGTGTGATTTCCTCCTCATGTGTATAATATAACCTGTGAATTATCTTAAAATATTTATACTACTTATTGTACTCGATGCATAGATTGTGATCCATCATAATGAAGTCAAATATATATATAAAAAAAAAAATAATAATAATAATATAGCTAATTATTATTTATTATTATATATTTTTATAATATTATAGAATCACTTATTTCTTTTAGAAAAATTTAAAACTTTCTCACAAAAAATTTGAAAATACGCCTTTGAACATAATTATTATAATTTGTAATCGGAAGTGTTCGAATGATTTAACTGCAGACTTTAATTTTGGGGATTTTAATCTGTTACATTAAATTATAAATTTTACCATTACGTCGTATTTTTTCCTAACTACCTACTTAATTTTAGAATCGTATTTTTTATCTTCATAATAATTGAAAGATTAAATTAATATAATTTGTCTACCTAATTTGAATCTTTGTTAGGGTAGTATGATTATAGTTGAAAAATACTTATAGAATAAAAAAAGTTCAAGGAAAATCTATCCTTTGTCAACCCCCCCTCCACGCCCACGCGATCACTAAAAATATGCCACTGCAAGTAGTTATGTCGTGAATACATATATTTATGTATCTGACAAAATGTATGTTATATGCCTGTTATATAGACGCAGTACTTACGCTTTGCAGTGATTTTCTATTAGTTATGTACTCGCCGCAGTTCCACAATTCAAAGTATAATTTTTCAGCCCATGTCTGTAGCCTATACACGTTCCACACAAATCATTTATATTATTAATTCGACCGACACACGTATATATAATACTATAATGTAATAAATATGTACATGTTTTAAATATTTATTTTAACATGTCGATTTAGTAGATATATAATAAAAATATTTTTATTTAAATATAAATATATATATTATGTGTGTGTGTGTGTGTATTTATACTTACAGTGCAGTTTTAACGGGTTCGAAATCGTGTTGAACGCATTCACGAACGGTGCACGTGTAAAAGAACAAGATTACTATGACTTTGGCGGAACTCATGATTATTAATCCACGAACGGTTATGTGAGGGTATCATATATTGCCGAACAACGACGTTTGTATTTTGTGTGTAGATTACGTGCAGAGCGGAACGTTGCGCGTTCTACGTGGTCTATCAGTATAATGCAACGGTGGCGGTGGTGTTTCTAAAACACAAATAAGCAGCCGTGCGTTGTTGTCGGACACGGACCGATCGATATGTGGTCCCCGAGGTGACTGAAACGGGGCGCATGGGTACAAATCGCGCGCGCACACACTTTCGGGCGGTCACACGCTCATTCGCACGCATACACACACTTACGCTAGTTCACACACACACGCGCGCGTCACACAGTCCCACACGCACACAGACGGTGAACAGAGCGTTTATCGCCTGTCCGTGTCACACATACGCTTTTGATTAAAAAAACTCGTTGATTTTTTTTTCCACTACGGTTGGAACTTTAAAACGTTACACTTTTACACTTCAGAATGCAACAAAATAAAGTTCGTCAGTTACTCGTGGCTTTAAGGTGTTTGAAGTTTTCTTACCTAAGCAGATTCCCAGGGTAGTTGGGTAAAGGTTAGGTAGCGGCCAATACCACTTGCAACGTGTAAAGGGGGGCATACACGGTCAGTCATGAATGTCAGTTTTTTTGATTGTCACTCACTATGAATGTCAATGTTGACATACATGGTCAATCATGAATGACAATAATTTGATAATTTTTCATAAAAACAAATGAGACCATAATTAATGTTATTTATTTAATTGAAGGTTTATAGTTTATACCTATCATATGATAGTATATGATTGTACCCTATTTAATATCTACATTTTCTAAATCATATATAAATGGAAGAAGCTTGTATTGTAATTATTGTAGCTTTGGCTACAGATAATTCAGATGAAGGAGAGAAACGAAATAAAATTAAAAGAACATGGTCAAAAGAATGGTTTTTAAAAAGGACAAAATACACACATCATAACCTACTAGATGAACTATTATTGACATCAAATGAAGATTATGCAAATTTCCTTAGAATGGACCATTCAACATTTATGGAATTATTAGAAAAAGTTGAAACTTATATCAAAAATATATTATAAAATATGATTTGTGATATTATGTTTTGAATGGCAACGTGTATAAATCATTACCGCACATGGTCAGTTATGATTGCCAAACACTTTGATTGACGACAAAAAATCAAGCGTGTTTGAAATTCATCAGTCAAGAAAAAAGATTGACATTCATCGACCTAGACGATCAATCATGAGTGACAATCACAAAACTGACATTCATGACTGACCGTGTATGGCACCCTTAAGGTATGGTGTAGGAACGTGTGGATACAATGTTTTCAACACACACCGCGATCGCAATTATTAGTACAGTGATCACCAACTGACGAACTGCAGTCCAAATCCGTTCCGCGGAAGGTACCTATGTATATAGCTGAACCGATAATATATCCTACTTAAATGCTTGAATTACATTTTTTAAATAATTTTTATAATTTTCAATGAAAAAGTGGAATATTTCATTTGATTTAGCATTATTATATGATTTTATTTGACTCATACTACAGTTGTCTCACTTAACACATTCATGCCCAAGGTTAAATTATTATTTAAATTTCCTTTTATTTGAGTTTTTCCTACAACTTTTGCACTTTGGAATCTAATAAAATTCCAAGAAAAAAAATTGTCCATAGTTTTCTAATTAAAATGTGTTCTAAGTATAGGTCTGTGGGTAGATAAGATATGATACAAGACATTTTACTCACTCTGATGGCTGTAATTAGAAATAATAATACAATATATCTATTACATAATTGATAATACATACAATTTGAATCGTCTACTCAGAAAATTAATTTTATTCATTGAAATTTATGAAATTATTTTATTCATTGAAAAAAATCTAAATTATTGTAATGTATGAAACTGTATATTACACATCAAATTAACACCAACATCACATTTTGTACATCTTGAAGTAAATGCAAAATAGTGAATGAAAAATGTACGACCGTACAAAAACTGTTTTATAATAATAATATCAGTTAATAATAATTTTCTTCAATTCGTTTATTTATTATTTTAATTTTCCGGATTCCAATAGATATTACTTTCTGACTCTGTACTAGAAGGTAACTGAATTAAAATAATAAATACACGAATACCAATTCGAATGACATAACCAGTATGATGGCATGCATAAATGGAATCAAAATTTAGCGAAATTCTAGCATAGATAATTGCAGCCTAATTAAGACACTGGATATTCCGATCGTTGGACAACTTGTATACATCAAGAATGGGTAACGCTTAATCAATTACGCACAGGACATGGTTGCTCTAGAGCAGTGATGTCCAACCTTTTTCGTTTGGCGGGCCACTTTGGTAAACAATTATCTTCAAGCGGGCCACAAAGTACATAAGTACAAAAATAATCTTATATATTGGACTTGTTTTTTTATCTTTTATTGTCTACTGAAAAGATTATGAATTGAGGTACACATTAGTTTGATTATTATGTTATTTTAAGTACACGGGTGATATCGATATTTAATTGTAAAGTTTGCGTATGAAAATGGCAGACAGAAAAAAAAACGCAAATATATTGATGATTGCCGAATTTTTAATGGTTTATAAATTACTTTTTCATTGAAATTAATGGAAAAGCAGTTTGTCTTGTGTGTCGTGAAACGGTTTCAGTTTTTAAAGAATTTAATATCAAACGACATTATGAATCAAAAAATGTTCATTTAAATTTTTTATTTTATTTTAGAAAATTCGTAACGGGCCACATGTGGCCCGCGGGCCGCGGGTTGGGCACCACTGCTCTAGAGGGATAATTCATAAATGGAAAATGAGAGATCATTTAAACTGTGTCCATTTATTACAAGCCATCTCCTAAAAAATAAGCGATTACCTTCTCTACGTTTTTAACAGCATAATGGAAAAACATCATGAAACTACCAACAACATGGTCCTTTGGATAAGATTACTTAACATTGGATTCCAATAAAAATGGAATATTTATATACATTATGGAAAAGTTATCTTCAGCATTAATTTTTAGATAAAATATTGTTTTGTGAATTATATAACTGTGACTAGTCTGTAAAGCTTGCATATTATACCATACGATAATTATAATATTAATTATCAGATGAAATATATTTTAAAAAATAACAGTAGCATTACTTTTTCTAAGTTACATTAAAAATGTTAATTAGATTTAATTTATTTCTAAGATAAGTATAATATATATTCTTTCGGTATTCATTTTCAATAAATAAACACATAGTTTATGAATAAAAATATTAATTTTTAGAAGATGGTAAACAAATAAGAAAAAAATTAAGGTATCAATTTACTTATAAAAATAACAAAAGCAATTATATTAATAATTAATATCAATCATTTTATTATAAGATTTGATACACATTTATCAACGAATGGAATGCAGAATAGAATAGGTTTTCAACAATAAACATATTGTCATGAGGCTATAAAATATATTACTACAGACAATACAAATCAGTTAAATCTTAAAAAATAAAAACTAATCAATAGGAAAAGGATAGTAACAAAATGAATAGGAGTATTATTGTATGATCGTCACATAATGCGATTCTATATAAACTAAAATTAAATGGTAAAATTAAATAATGATTGAACAATTTTAAGTGGATTTTAAATTATTCTAAAAATGAGAGGTATGTATGAACATTTTCATTTTAATTGATTAGTTAATTTATTTATTTTGTATTAAATAAAAAAATCATTTGGGTTATAGAGAAGACATTTGATGTTAAAAATTTGTTAAAAAATGTTTAAACTTCTCCCTATGATGTAAAAAAAAAAAAATGTATAAATACATTCAAAAGCTCGTTTTAAAACAAACAACAATTTTTTTTACATCATTTTTCCCTAAAAATGTTTTATAACAATGATTAAAAATAACATTATATTTTAGCCATCAATTACAAAATAAAACATAACATACATTTGATGACCATCGATTCACACATAAGTAAATATACTTGTGCTTAGTAAACATATTTTTTATTGATTTTGAAACAAATTAAATTAAAATATTTATAGTTTTTAAGAAAATTTTTTTCAGATATTTGATGTGTAATTTTACAATTACAGATCCATAACAAAATAAAGAGAGATAAATTTTCAATTAACATGGTAACAATATAGGCTACAAAATCTTCACCTAAGAAATATTATAGATATAATTAAATAGAATAATGATATTTAATAAGTTAATAATTAACAGTTATAACATGATTATACTGATATTTAGTAATATTATAATATACATTCAGGACATGGGGCAGTGGTATATGTACTACAATTCTGTCAATATTTATTATTATAGCAAATTTAATAATTGCATTTACTTTTTTTAAAAAAAAATTTGCTAAAAACGCAAATTATATTTATAACACTTGTTAACAATAATAATTCAAAATTAAACAGCATGAGGAATATTCTAGATCGTGTATGAATACATAATGGTGCTCAACTGCACGTATAGGTAAATCCATTGCCACTCTAATATTAAACTAAATGTTAAAAACTTAAGTGTCATATTGTGCTAGCTCAATAAATTATTTAATTTTAGACTTTGGTTAAATTCAAGTTATTGATTTGAATTTTCATAAAAAAAATTAGTAAAATGAAACATAGAATCAGAATAAACTGATAATATTTAATCTATATATATATAGTTTGGAAAGTAATACAGAACTGTATGTTTAACTTTTAAAATAATTTTGTACATTAACTTGACAAAAACTGTTAAACTGTTTATATGTATAAATAAGGGATAAAATAATTACAATTTAAAAAAAAAAAAAACATCCCCTGATATAAATTGATTCAACAAATATTATTATGCATATACCCATTAGAATGTTGTTAGATTTGTAATGTTAAAAAAAATAAATAAAAAGAAATTTGGTACAGAAAATACCTATTTCAGTTTTAAGTAACTAATAAATAAATATAATATTTCCATACAAAGTTTAATTTTTGGTAATTGCATGTTACACATTTTTTTTTAATTATAGTAATATTTTTGAACGATTATCTGAAGTTGTGGCTTTACTAAGTCTTAGAGCTAATTCAAAATCAGCTTTTTCTTGCTCTAAACGTGCTTTTTCTTCTTCCATTCTAAACTTTTTTTGGGCTTCCCATGCAAGTTGTTCATCACTAATATTAGTTTTATGGCAATCATCCGAAGAAAATGCACCATCTCCAAAAGGATCTGTTTCAAAGCATGTATTTGAGAATGGATCTATTTTAAACGGATCGTCGTATCTATAGTCTTTGAATGGATCTTCAGTAAATTCAAAACTATTTGATTGTGAAATAGCTTTAGGTTCTGATTTGATATTCTGTGAAAACTAAGAATGTAACGAAAAAAAAAATAAAAAAAAAATAAAAAAATAAAAATAAATAAAAAAAATTAAAATAAATAAAATCATATCTATTTCTAGAAAAGTAATAAAAAATAAAATAATAGTAAAAATAAAAATAAAAAAATATATTAGAAAATTATACATGATTATAAAAGTAATATTTATATAGGATAAATAGAAATTAGGATTGTATATATTAAAATATAATCAATATAAATTATATTTTTATATCCAAATATTAATCAAATAATTGTTACCTAAAATATATCTATGGTACCCTTTTAACTAAAGCAACAATTTATTGAAAATATAAGAAAATTCTTATTTCCCAATACAAACGTATTTTTAATTAATATTTATAACAATAAGAAGATGCAATTATAATTAAATAAGCATACAAATAATCAAATGAAGGAATGTGTAAAAACTGTCAACTATTTATCAGTAAAAAGATTAATAACCTATCATTAAAATTATATTAATTAAGAGTGGTTGCAGATTAAGTTCTAGAATCAATAATTAATCATTTTAATACTCATTTATAGTTAATAACTTTTAATTTAAATTAATTTAATACAATAAAATAATTATAAATTTAATAGGAAATTGTTCATTTAAAACAAAAATTTAAAATTATGATAAATCTGATAAATCTGATAACTAATATCATTGATTAATATAAATAATATTTATAAATATTTTTAATAATTTATAATTAATGCTAATATCAGCAAAGAAAAAATACTCTGGCATTTACTAAGTATTGTTTTTATATCCAATATTCTACTTTGTAAGAATCATTGAAGTTTTTTTTTACTGTAGCATTGGAAAAAAGAAATAAGAAATTAAAAAAAGAAATGGGAATATATGTTTTATTAAAATGCATATTTACCTTGCTGTTGAAATTTGCAAAATCAGCAAACTCAGAACTTGTTGAAGAACTGTTGTGAGATACTGGTGCATGATAAGGTGCAGGTCTTGGTGGAGCTGGCCTGGGTGGTGGCTGTTTTCCTTTTTTAGGTGGAAGTGCAGGTGTAGGGCTTTCAGGTCGTTGTGGTGGTGGTGCAGAACTTGGTCTTGTTGGTGCATGCAGTATAGCAAATGGATCACAACCAAATGCATCTTTATCTTCATATTTCTTTAAAAAATAATTCATGTATTTACATTATTTGACAAATAGCAACTTCTTATAAAACATAAAATAAATTAATGTAATGTAATTAACTTACATCAGATGATTTTGATACATTTGTTTCACCACCAAATGGATCTGTACTTTGACCTTAAAATAAATGTGTTTATATATTCCATTCAATTTAATTATTATCTATAATTATTTAAAATAATGGTGATAATTTAATTTTTCAAAATTACTTACTTCTAGTCCTGGAATCATCAAATGATGTAAATGGATCATTAGAAAAAGCATCCTATATAAATATAAAAATAATTAGATAAATTAATATAACATTTAAGTAGGTTAAAATTGAATTAACATATACTGTACTTACCGTTTTATGGTTTTGAGAAAATGCATCATTATTTGTAAAAAAATCTATTTTAAAATAATGTAAATAAGTATTCAATATTTAAGTATAATAAACTTTAATAAATTAATTATCAGTTTTAAAAGAGTTTTCATTGTGTGATCCACCTTTTTCATTAGTTGGAGAAAAACCATTTACATTATCAAAAGAATCTTTGTTTTCCATCTAAAAACAATAGTAACATTAAAATGGTAGAATCTGTTTTAGATAATACTATTTTCAAATCTTGACTCACAATTTTTCCTAATAGCCTACTACATTCCAAATCCCGAAATTCTAAATTAAAATTCAATAAAGAATCTGGGATTGCGTAGATATTTCCTTCTACTAATGCTTTTTGAGTTGACTCAATTATGTTTTCCATTTGACGTTTATTCTCCTCCAATTGATTTACTTTATTCTTAAACTAGTTTAAGAAATAATATGAACAAACAAAACTTAAATTTTTCTAGAAATATCTATACCTGACTTATTTGAAGTTGTGAATTTTGTAACATATTATTTAATTCATCCAATTTTTTGCTCATTTCAGACTGATCTTTTTCAAGTTTATGCTCTAGAATTTTAAGTTCTTCAAGCTCTTGTTTTTTTGAAGAAAGCTCAGCTTCTTGGACTTTTAAAGTAAGTTCTTGTTCATCAGCTTGCTTGCAAAGATTGTCCACCTATAATAAATTAATACGAATAACATCCATAAAAAAACGCTTAATTAATAATTAAACAATCTTAATTATTTATAATAACTATTGAAATATTGAAATTACAAAAAAAAAAAAAAAAAATTAATTAATATTATATTTGCTCAACCAATTTGATCAACATTTTTTTTAGTAAAACATACAAAAATTAAATTTAATTGAAAATATTAAAATATAATTTTGCTCAATAATATATGTTCAGAATAAAAATATTAATAATAAAAATTATGTTTATAAATAAAACATAAAAAATAATATTAAATAGTATGTATTTTTAAAAATGAATTTATTTTTAGGCTAGAACAAATATTTTATAATACTTTGGTGACAATACTTTTTAAAATTTCTAACTAATATGTTGTGATTAAAATTTCCATATGTATGCAAAAGTAAATAGATTTATAATAATAAAAAAATCTTCTTGTTATCTTCTATTTTTGTTTCCCACTAAAATCTAACAAAAATGGCACTTGTGTCAATAGATTTATTTTTCGGCAAAAACAGTACTTTGTTATTAACTTGTATATACATTATTTTTCTTTATTTGTTATAAAATAAAAGGAAGAACTTTTAAAATATAAGGTTAATAATAGGTACACTGTTTCTATTAATGAGATATATACATGTATAAATAAATGCAATCAGGGGCGTCATTTGGGGGGGGGGGGGCAGACTATGGCAAATGGCCCACTCTAAGAAATTTTAAAAAGTCGGCAATTCTTTGTCCGATGATCAAATGCTAAAATTAGTAAATAGTAAATTTTTATTTAATATTTTGTACTCAGAAATCAGATAATATTCTCTTTTAAATACACGTTCATGGTTTAATAAAAGTTGAGAAACATTGGCTCCTCCCGGGTTTATGACAATTGTTATTCCACAAACCTTATATACTTTATTTTTGTATATTATATATTTATAAATATGTGATATTTATAAAACAGTTTTCCTGATATTGATACCATAAAAATTGAGCTCATAATCTATATATATAAAAAAAAAAAAAAAACTGTTAAAAACGTTCCTATTCACCTCAAACTACGGTACATTATATTTGAGATACAATTTTGTTTTTATAAATAAGTTCTGTTAAGTATTAAATATACAAATAATAAAATTATAAGTATTTATTTCATTAGATTTATATTATTATTCCATTAAACGTATTGATAGGTAACTTACAGCATATAGGATAAGTAAATTAATTAATGTTTTACTATCTTTAATGTTATTATTTAATTGGATAAATTGAAACGTTTCATGTTCTTTGTTTATCATCATGACATTATTATTCATTACTAATCTTTATATGTTTTGTTCCAAAAAAATATTTTATAGTCCAAAGATATTAAAATATAGAGGTAATCATAATCTTTTAAATATTATGAAGTCGGCAAATTTAAATAGTTGCCCCACTATTTTAAAAGTTTAAATGACGCCCCTAAATGCAATTACATTAAATTAAGGTTAGGAATAGAAAGTTATAAAAGTTATAAATATAACAAATATGACATTTTAGAGAATAAATAAGATGGTAACATGAAATATTTGGGAATAAAAAATTTTTTATTTTGATTTGGGAAGATATAAAAATTTTCAAACTTCTAATGACAATATACAAAAATGTATCAATTCAATAATTTTAGGATATTAAAAACATGTAATATTCATTTGTTTGTTATAAAAAGTATGATTTTTTAAAAAAAATAATTAATTTTCATCACATTTTAATTTATCCGACAGTACTTTTTCCCAAAATAGATTTATAACTGAGATTGTACTGTAATTAATGCAAGACCATTTTAAAATAAATATATTATATTTTTAAAAATTAAAAACTTTTTTAAACTGTATAATGAATACTTTGTTGGAATTTATATTATACTAAAATAAAATAATAATTTAAGATTTCCCTATTAAAATGATACACACAAACCATTTTATAATTATATATTACCTTATAATATAAAATCAACAAAATTATATATATTTTTATTAGAATTTAAATAAAAATAATTGTGAAAAAAATAATTATGCGGTAAAATATAATAAGCTAGGGATGGATTCAGGATAAAATACCTGTATTTTTTCAGCCTTTAATTTCTGATTGACGTTGATTATTTCATTTTCTACCAAAATAGTCTAAAATGGTGAAAATAAGCACATGCAAGTTAAAAGGAGGAACAAAAATAAAAATAACAAATAAAAAAGCTGACAAATATTAATATCAGTGTTATATGTTTAGTATGCAAAATAAATATAAAATGTTAGACAATAAATTAGTAATAATATATTTTTCAGATAGGTTAAATAATAAATATTCAAAAAATATACACAAAGACGAATCATTTATTCAACCCTAATTATTTCGTGGTATAATTTGATAAAAGTTACCTGGTTTCTGAGATCATTTAATCGTTTTTGAGCTTCACCTTTTTGATTTTCTAACTGTTTAAGAGTAGCTGATAAAGTGTCAAGTTCTCCCTAAAAAAAAAAGTATTGCTAAATGAATATTAAAAAATTAAAAGTTTACAATAGAATATACTATACTATTTTAATAAATATTAATTATAATAATTTAATATATATTTTATTTAAAATTATCAAAGGATTATAATAAATATATTAAATATAAATAAAGTAAAACTTAACTATTATATTTTTAAATTATGAACAATTAATGATGTCTTATTAAAAGCTTAGACAATTTACAATACAAAAGAATATAATAGGAAATAGAATAATTATATATAGAATTCTTTAGAATTAGTATGTATTAAAATAATTATTATACTGTATTCGAAAATAAAAATGTTATAATTTTTTTAAATATACATTAATAAATAATTTAATAATTGAGACAGTAAAAATTAAAAATAAACATTTACATTGTAAACAACGAGTTATTTGTTAAAAAATAAAATAAAATTTTAGTAAAGAATAGTCTTAAATCTTAAATAGATCTTTTATATTTTTTAAGATTAAGTAGTATAAAATATTTTTGTTATTAATTGCTTTTATAAGTAGAATATTTTAGCATAACTATGATTAAAATATACAGTTGAAATTGTAAGATAAATGGAAAGAAATTCTACCAAAATTATAAGATGAGAAAGATACATCATAAATAAAATAAGATGTTTTTCACATATTAAGAAATAAATGTGTGCTTAAAATTAAAACATTAAATTCTGAAAAAAAAAAATAATAAAAAAAATATGTTAAATAATAACCTGCAAACTTTTAACTTCTCCAGATCGTATCTTTAAATCAGCTTCTTTTTGAGCAATTTCTGTTTCCAGAACAAGTCTTTCTTTGACTAGTTCATCAATATCTTTTTGAATCATATCCAGTTCAGGGTTTGAATACATTGGAAGCTTTTCTTGAACCTATAAAAAATAAATATTATAACCTATACTTAAATTAAGAATACATATATTTTAATGTATAGGTTTTGGTAGACAAAATATTCTTTCGCAAACTCTTTGTAAAGTAGATGGGTGTGTGGAATGCCACTTTGATTTACATGTTGATTATTGACTAAACAAACCAACAATAAATATTTACTAATTAATGTAATTTGGGTACATGTAATTATTAAAACCAATGAAATTTGAATTCACATATTAGAAAAATAGGTATAGTAGATATGTTTAAAATATTACCTATGTAATATTTAAAGGTTTATTTACAGTAATTTTCTATTTTGTTAACTATAGTTTAAATGTATCAATATATAACTTTTTTACAGAACAATCATTTTGTTTTAATTCATTTTATTTCAAGTATATTATTTAAAAAATCATAAATTAAAATTGAATCTAAAAATATATGATAAATGTATTATTACAATTACATAATCAACCACTAATATAATTTTGTGGTGATCTGGTAGAAACCAAAAAAATTAAAATTAAAATAAACCATAAGTACTATTACAATGTAAAACAAATATTAGTTTTTGATAAAATTTAATATTTTTTTTATTGTAACTGAAAAAAAACTAATAAGGGTACAGACAATTTATATTAATAATTAAGATTTTATAGATATAATATAGTTTAATATAATCTAATAATAAAATTCTAATTTTATTTTTGTACTCCATGATGTCAGCAAATTTGATAATACATATGTTTTCAAAATATAGTGTAATATATAAATAGGGCATATTAAGATATAAATATTTTTTGGTTGCCATGACTAACTATCATTGTAAAAATGTTATGGAAAATTATGTAACTCCAATAAAACAAAACATGATATTATTTAAAAAGTTAATTTTCTTAATAATAGCAATTATATTATTTTCAGAAAATGGAGTCTTATCATTTAATTTAAAATTAAATTGGAATAATATAAAAAATAAAGCAACAAATATTTTAGCTGAAAGTTGGAATAAATCACGTGGTATATCTCAAATAGGACCAAAACCAAGTTTATATCTTGATTATCCTGGTTTGGATAGCGAAAAACTAAAGAAAAACATAAATCTTTGGAACTTGTACTATCAATGTTTGGAAGAATTTCTAAAAAATGTTAATAAAAATAATATTTTTCAGGCAAAAGTAATAACTGCATTTAAAAGCTCATCTTTGAGGTAATTTTTATCACTATTTTAAAAATGTAATCAATATTTAATATGCTCTTATGTAAATGTATAAAGTGTTTTTCTTCTAATTTTTAGTTTAGAATGTGAGCTCTGTATTTCTCCCAAGAATTTAAATCATAAGAATGTCTGGTACTACTCATGGCTAGGAAATTCAAAGAATTTAAGTTTAATAAATGAAAATAATTATTATCGAATTTCATCTTTGGATCTATCTCTAACTATAATTAAAATGGACAAGTATAAAAGTGGATACTATCAATGCAAATTATCCAATAGTGAAGCAGGACCATATTTCATTGAACTTATTAAAGATGAAATGCCAATTACTTTGGTAAATTGTTAAAAAATATGTATGTAACTGAATTAAGTGAATAATAATGTAAACATATTTAGATAAACAATACTATAAAGAACTACAAAAGTACAAAAATAATTTTGAATGGTTTAGATTTAAATATAAGGTATCATTGGACAAAATGGTCATCATGCAGTAAATGTGAAGAAATGGGTAAAAAAACAAAATTTGGTCATTGTTATGTATCATTAAATGGTACAGTATAAAGCAATAATACAAATGTAATCATAGATAAATCAAAAAATATTTAATAGTCACTAATTTAATAGATTTTAATTAGATTAAAATTTAGATTAATATATAATAGGTTTCAATATGTTTAAGCAATTAGTATGTTTAATTAAAAAACATAATAATATTAATTAAATTAAATTATTTTTGTGATTGTTTTAATTATAGAAATTACAATTAATAAAGCAAATATGAAACATAATTTAACAAAGAATCACAAGGGTCAGGAAATAGATTCATTACAAAACTTATTGTATGCTTTTGATACTGGGTTACCATGTCAAAGTAATTTAATAGATAGATTATATACATTTGATAATATATTAAAGAATAAGACACCACAAATAATGGTTGAATATTGCAAAGTAATATTATATTATTATAGTGTTTTGATATTTTAATATTTTTAATTCAATTTTAAGGTAAAATGTAACAATAATGAAATTTTTGAAATCAAAGATTTTAAAGGGAATATAAAAGAAAGAGTTAATAATTCAGCAGACATATATTCTCCATTACAAATTATACCAGAATTACCTCCAAAAGTTGAAACTTTAGTTATAACTACATTTTTGAATAAACAACTGAATATCACATGTCCTGGGTTAGAAATTGTTAATTATATAGATATAATATGTAAATAAAATAATTATCACCATTAATTTATAATTTTTTTTTTTTTTTATTACAATTAAAGGAATTTAAATTCGGATGCACCTTATGAATGGAGGATAAATAATCAAATTATCTCATCAACAAGCGGGAGGATAAAATCTGATATACTTAACAGACTCATAGTTCAAAACATAACACAAGATGATGAAAAAATATATACGTATAACCCAATATTAAATTATTTATAACTGTGAAATGTATACTAATTTTCATTTTTAGATGTTGGCAAGTAGATTATCTAGCTGGAATAGTGGAGATAATATTAATTAAGGACTTTAAAATTTCAATTCAAGAATATTTACACCTATATGGAGTTTACTTTATTTTAGGTATATTTATCTGGGTTGGATTTAAAATTTGTTTTGATAGAGAAGCAGCAACTTTTTTATAATCATGTTACATGTGTATATATATTTAATAATTAATTAAACTAATAAATAGTACTGTTACTTGAACAACAGTAGTTGGCGCAATAGTTCTATTGCTTGGAGGAATCATTTCAGGGGAAAGTGTAGTTGGTGGATCAATTCCCATGAGTTTACGTTCTACTAGCCACATTGCGAGACTAAATTGCTCCATATCTAATTTTCCATGTTGATTGATATCACAAAGACTCCTAAAACATTAGAAATGTATATTAATATATAAATTGACAATAATAACAAAACATTTTTAATACAATTACCATATATGAGCTAATATAGATTGATGAATACCAGTTTTAAGAAATCTGTCTTTGATTTCTGGTCCTGATACAAAACCATCCATGTCAACATCAGATTCCAAAAACATAGAATCATAACGATTTTTTTCTTCAGCAGTAACTACCCACGTGGCAGGGGATGGCACTAATCCAATACATGAAGTAATTGGCCTCTAAAGCAACATTTATTGTTTAAGTTCTATTAATAAAATAAAACCTTAATATAAATAATATTATAGGTAAAATAATAGCCTATCATAACTTGTTAACACTTATGTATTAAATTTTAAATATTTTTATTATTTATCAAGTTTATGTTATTTTTAGAACAAAACATAAATGTATATATAAATTTACTTTTGGTGGTTGTTTGACTAGATTTGAAGGAACACCAGAAGGTAGCACTGGTACAACAGGTACAGGTGAGTTAGCAACTACTGAACTTTTTCTTTTTGTTGGAGGTAATAGTTCTGGAGGCAGTACACTAGGAATAGCATATTTTTCTAATGCCTTATAAACTAAATGCATAGCCTAAAAAAACATATTTTTAAATAAAATAAGTTTTCAATATATATTTTATTAAAATTAAAAGGACATACAACAGCGAATTCATGTTGATCTAATTTTCCATCTTTATCCATATCAGCAAGATCCCAAATTTTACCTAAAGTATCAACTGACAATTTGGAATCTATAAGCAACCCTTTAACCTATACACATAAATAAAAACCAATTTATTATTAGTAAAACAAATAAGTATTAAAATTTACTTTATCTCCAGCAACTGTTCCATTAACTGGCCTTAATGATTCAAACAACTTATCATAGTTAATTTTTTCTGAAGGTTTCATAGACCAGTCATTCATATTACTAATATTTGTTGGTAATTTGCTTGTTATTTGTTTTGATACTTCGCCCTGTAATATTATTTTGCAATACATACTTCAGTAATGTCCACATAAATTCACATTAAATATTTTAATTTATACCATATTAGGAGGTGGTGTTTGCTGAGTAATGTTTAACATTGATATATCACGGCCATTTTGTGCTAATGATATTAATTTCAATGCTACAAAAAATCCAGGTTTAGATAAATAACCTTTAGCAGTTGGATCAGATAAATCCCAAATCTTAAGAAATAAAAATTAAAAATACAACTAATTAATTATTTAAATGTCTTATGTTTTATAATTCATTAAAGCAATAGTAATATTTTTAATAAAATACATTTATTAGAAATTATAAAAACCTACTTGACTAAGAATAATTTGTGATAAGCCAGACTTTTTAAGAAAATTTGCTGCATCCATTGCTCCAATATTTCCTTTTTTAGTAGGATCAACCTAAAAATAGTAAATATAATTTTACTTTAAGAAAGAAAATTATAAAAAAAAACCATAAAAAATTAATAAGTAATGATCCTATTTTGAACATTAAGCAAATACACAAGGATACAACTAAATAAATTACATTGAGACTAAAGATAAAATTGCAAATATTTTATTTAGAAGTTTTGTAGTATAAAATTTAAAATTTTTTTTAAATATGTTAAATATAAATATTAAATAATTGAATCAAATGCTATAAAAGAAAGATTCAAAATGTTTGGCAATTTTATAGTTCACACAATGAAGTAAATATAAAATAGACTATAGTATCCTTAATTTATATTGAAAGGTCCCTATCATTTATTGTAACATTTTAAATAGTATTTATATTTCTATACAAATATGAACAATGGTACAAGCTAATTTGTGCATAATTTAAAAAAATATAGGTATATATGAGTAAATATCATATACACATTATTAAATGAAAAATAGTATACTAAATAATAGGAATAAAATTATATAAATATAGGGTAGTTACTTACCATAGTATAGAGTGCTTCATATATTGGGAAATTACTTCCAGCTACCTATGAAATATAATTAACATTGAATATTATAAAAATAGTTTGAAATATAACCTTGAGATTGATGGATATAAATGATATAAAAATATTAATAAATTGATTTTAGGGTGGAGTCAAGATAATAAGCAATTCACCACATTTAAGAATTAAATCATAGCATAAAAAAAATTTTTGTAACCTAAGTTCACCATTTACTTGATTTAAGAAAGAAAGAAAAACAGTTATTTTATCTACATCTTTGGGTTTTTATCTAATTTTTAAATAAAATATTAATTATTTATCTCACTTCATTTGGGGAAGGCAATGAAGCCATCCTGAATGCTTGACCGTAATTACTGAATTAATCTCAAACGATATTGTAACGGTAATTGGATCAATATACTAATAAAATAATTACACAGTTAATAGAAGACGACCGTATTGTTAAAATAGTACACTTGATACACAGGAGTATAGAAAAATATAATAACTGTCGTCATAAAATAATCGAACGTAATAACAAAACACAAATAAAATTGATTTTTCTAGAATTTTTATCAAAAAGCAAATGACACTTTGATGCAGTGCTGCAATGTAAGCAATGTAAAACTCTAAATCCCTTTTATAATTTTATGTCAAATTTCATCAAATATTTTCCCACTGACAAAATGTTGATTATTTATTAATATTTATACTTAGATATTTATAATAATTGCAGAAAATAAAAATAATTTCATTAGGTTTCATAGTTATTAATTAAATATTATTATTATGCTTTTCAATTTCAATGTGAAGGAAAATTACAACTTTTATCTTCTTTGATATATTATCTATAATATGAATGTTGCTTATCACTTTCACAGTGAATGGCGTCATATTTTGTTTTCTTGTAATATCTTCTAGACATCTCGAATCCACAATTCATTAACTTGTTCGTCGTTTTCGTTTGAGGTAAATATTTGAATTTTACTTTCTTTAATTTTTACATTAATCTGATGATATTTTCTTCGTATATGTTTTAGATTAACAAACCTATTTTTGTATTCCTTCAAAACTAATTAGTATGAATCTTGAATCTGAATTAATTTATTGTATTTGAATACTCGTGTCACATGGTCTTGGTATTAGGTTATCTTCTGAATTTTTCTAAATTTCAATTTCTTTTAAAAGTGATCCATTACTAATCATTTTTCTATAAAATTAAATAAATATTAATAAAAAATCATTTGATTAATTATAAGTATTAGTTTATCTTTTGAATTAATATTTTATTCTTGAGCTATTTACATTATTCTGTCATTATAGTATTTGTTTCCCAGTTTAATTGATTAACTAGTATAGATTTACCAAAGTACTTATAATTAGGATATTGTGCATAATATATTTCTTAATTTTTTTTGAGAATGGAATGAATTGGTCAAAAATATTTAATTTCTTTTAATGTTCACTATTTATTTTATCTACTAAGTAAATATAAAATCTCAAACTCCAATGAAATTATTTTTTGTTATGTCTACATTGTATTCTAAGAGCACTCTCATCATTACGCAGCAGTACTCTCGCTAGTTTTTCTAATGCTATATTAAATAGGATTGGAGAAAGTGCATGCTTTTGCTTCAAATTTGATTCAACTGAGTAGGAAGATGACACTGTTTGTATTAGCTTTTGAGGGAAGGAAGCCAAACTCCTCAATCATTATCCTGTACAAGCTGTTCCTGAGTTTGTCATTGTATGCTTTTTTTGAAATCAATGAATAGGTGCTACATATTCTGCTAATATTTGTATCTTTTCTCAATAATATGCCTTTTAATTATTTGTTGCTCTATTGTCGATTCTTCCTTTCTGGTGCCATATTGATAATCTTCCATGTATGGGGAAGATTTTTTATAAGAATTTTGGTGAATATTTTTAATGCTGAGTTCAGCAATGATAGATCTCTATAATTATCACATTTTAATAAGTCTCCTTTTTTGTGTAACAGAAATATAATTATAAGCTAAATAAATAATTTATTAAATTAATTTTTAGGAACTTATTGATCTAAACGTTTTATCATGGCCAAATCTAAGAACCATACCAATCATAATCAAAGTAAGGTGGTTTAATTTTTAGTTAAAACTATTGTAAAAATAATTTTATCCATATTTTTAGATCGTAAGGACCATCGTAATGGTATTAAAAGGCCAAAGAAGTTCAGACATGAATCACGCCGTGGTGTAAGTTTTATTTTCATCATATTAATATCTTAAGAATATATAATTATTTTATTAATTATTTCTATAGGTTTGCCAAAAGTTCTTAAGGAACCAAAAGTATGCTTTAAAGGGTAATCTTTCTACTGAAAATCAAGTTTCCAGAGCTAATGAAAGGAGCCAAAAAAGATTAGCATTGAGAACCAAATTTGCTGAACTTAAAAGCAAAAAAGCTGCAACTAAAAAAGCATAATTTTTACTTATTAAAATATTTAATAACATCAATATGTTTCCTTATTGTTTAATCATAAGGATTTTATTAAAATGATTAAATATAATTTGGTGTTAATTGCTTTTTTATCCTTTATATTGATAAATATATAGTGGACCTTTCATTCGCAGGCATAAATAAGCAAATTTATGTTATTTGTAAACTAAAAGCATAGTATTTCAAATAATCTATGTCATTTTAATAAAGTAGAATTACCCTTTCTAAATAGGTATTAAATTTACAATAACACTATATTTGTAAACTTAAATTAAAGTTTACTGTTAAGAGAGTTGAATGGTATAAAATATTTTTAAAATAATTTACAACATCAAACATTTAAGTATTCATGTATTTCTATACAAATTTTATTTAATATATATATTTGTAATATAATATAACAAATAGTTAGGTTACATTATCCAAAATGTATACATTATAGAATGCGGATTCTTTAATATATCTTAATAATATAAAAAAATGGTTAAAATAGTTCATTAAGTATGTCAAAACTGGAATTATTTTTGTAATAATTAAAAATATATTGTGGCATGTTTTTTTTGATAGAAGATAATGTACTTCAATTGATGGTCTTTTAGTTGTTTTTGATTTTATTTCATTAGTTGAATCTATTGAAATATAAAACCGATATTAAAATCTAGGGTTTGCTTATTGTATTATTTCTTAAATTTACTTGTGCATTATTTAACCAGTCTTAAGTTAGATTAAATTTCTTCATATGATACTCATCTAAGTTAAAATATATACCTGACAATTCATTTTAAAGACGTGTACATTTTTAATAGGTAGTAAAACATAATCTTTTATATCATATTGATACATGTTATCACTGAATAAAATGTTGGCACATTTAGGTCTAAAATATTGGGGGGAGCTGAAGCCCTACAAAAAAATTTAGTCAATGTGAGCCATGAGGGGCTTCGCCCCCCCATACCTCCCATTGCTCTGCAGACAACAATAATTATTAATTAAAATAAAAACAATCGTAAGATATTATTACCATTGAGTATATTATACTATAATATACTATAATAAGTATATTATCATTGAGTGATCAAGAAGTTGTGCACATCAAAATAAATGAGTTTATAAATAGTATTTTGTTTGAATTACTTATAATGTTAATCATAGATAAAAATACAAAAAGTATTCAAAATGAATTTATACATTATGCATATATTACAATATATACTCGAAATGGCTACGTTGTCCATTAATAAATGCATGAACACATTTTACCACGTTTGTAGTCACTTTGTGAAGTTCGCTAGCATTGATTAAGTTAATCTTAGACCCAGATTTCTTTCTAAGGAGTAATTTTAATGGAAGGGTTTATAAAAATAGACCACAAATATTGGATGAACTGAAGAGTAACATATAAACGGAGATTAACTTAATCAATGCTAGCGTACTCCACAAAGTGGCTACAAACATGGGCGCAACTAAAGCCCAAATATTGGAGGTGCTGAAATTTCTGAAAATTAAATTAAATAGTATTTAACTGTAATTACTATAGATTATATAGATCTGAAAAAAAACAGAAGTGCTACATTTGAACTCAGTGGTGCTATTACGCCCCCCTAGTTCCGTTTATGGCTACAAACATGGTAAAAGGTGTTTGTGCATACATTAATGAACAACGTAGCCATTTTGAGTATATATTGTAAAACACGCATAATGCATACATATAAATTAATTTTGAATATTTAATGTATTTTTATCTATGAATAACAGTACAAGTAATTCGAACAAAATACTATTTACAAACACATTAATTTTGATGTGCGTGACTTCTCGATTACTCTGTATATTATTAAAAATCATGTACCTACTTCTATGTAGTATGTTTTACATAAAATATGACATAACACCACCGCAATATTCCACCTTCGTCCGTAACATTTATTAGATAACAATATTATTATTAATTATGTAGGAATTACAGAATAAACTATAATAATAATATTTTATGTTTATACAATTTAATTTTGAACAATTCTCTGCGTCATATACTCATATTATTTATTATTTATCTCACTATCCCATACTTAAATTATCATTAAATTTATAATAATCAAAAAAATGTGGGGGGCTAAGCCCCCCCTAGTTGCGCCAATGCACATTTATTAATTAAATTTAAACAATTATTAACCACATGTGTAGTCTCTATTTGACACGCATATATCATAGCAAATTTGAATTCTGTAGTTAAAATGTTTGTTTAGTTACATACCTTAGATTATTATATTAGTAAGAACTTTGTCTCCTACAGCAGTGCTGTAGCTAAAGAAAACTTTCCGTTGAGAGCACTTAATTACTTCATTGTTTTCTTGAGTTTTTACAATACTTATCACTTATTACCAGGGCTCATAACTTTTAGCATTTGCATATTTTTTTTGAGAAGTTCTAGAAGTACCTATGTGAGCTATAAATTTATTTCAGATAACCAAGAAGCTACATACGAAATTTTATGTTGCATATTTTTGCATATTTCGGAGTATAAGTGCTATTTTGCTTCTTTTCGCTTTTTTTGCTTATTTTTGGATTTTTGCATGATTTTTCTTAAAAATAACAAGTAATTATAGTCGTATTAATTGTTCATATTAGTAATTAATTCGTGTTAATTAATTTTTCTTATATAACTTATATAATAATATCAGAAGAAACTATATATATATACCTACCTACCTATACGAGTTTAGGCGACACGCGACGTAACGAGAGTATACGCCCGAAACTTCGTAATTCCTTCGATAAGGAACCATTACAATTGTATATAATTGTGACTTTTACTGTAGTATTTTATTTTTATAGTTTCTAGGTATTCGGGTATTCCGATATCATCATTCTCAGATTATTTACAGATTATTTTTCATTAATATTTTGCAGTAGTTTCCGATTTTTCGTGCATATAGTTTGTTTCATGAATTCAGTATCTAAATTTTTTTTTTTTTTTATACTAGAAGCTAAAGTAATAAAATAATATAATAAATAATAATAATAAAATAATGATTTTTGTATACAAACGTTTTTTTGCATATTTTAGTATTTTTAGTGCATATTTAAGCGCTTATAACAACCTTTTTTAGAGTTATAAGTTATAAGCCTTGCTTATTACTAGGGAACGGATTTATATGTAATAAAAATACAGAAATATTTACATATATATGTTAGTATAATTTATAAAATATGTGCTAAAAACATCCAAATATGTGGGGAAAAAAAAGTGATTATTATTTTTAAATTATCAAAATGATTTTTTGCATAGAATTATTACAATATCTTTTAAATTATCAAATGTTAAATGTCGCCAATTAGGTATCAAAATATTTTTAAAACGGCTAAATTATCGTTTCATATCAACCGATGTATTAAAAGGATATTTCAAGTGCGTACTATTAGAAGGCGATAATTTCAAATTTTTAGAAGAGTGTCTACCACTCATTATGTCATTGATTGTTTTAAAATCAATGTTGCCTGGAATTTTTTTCTGTAACAGCATGAATTTTATTTTTTACAACATCTATTGATCTGCTTACGAGTTTTAATCGCTGATTCAACAATTTGCATACTATCATTTGGGGACATATTTTTTATTAATAATTTTGTTAAATTATTTTTAATTAAAATTAAATTATTTTCAATGTTTCATTTAACATAATATTTTGAGCTTTTCCAATAGCGATAAAAGTTTTTGGATCTAATTTTGAAATAATTTCTTGTATTTTCGTACGAAGAAGACGTATGAATGATGAAATGATAAAATATGTTTAAAAATATTTCAAAATTAGTGAAATATGTAAAATATGTAAAATAAAAGTATCATCATTTTAATAGGAATGATTTAAATCATAAACATTTCTTATCGAGTTTTAAATATCTCGTTTTAATAAAAATATGCATTTACATATAAATCCGTTCCCTACTTATTACTTTATAAGACCCCATTGTAAATAGTAAAGATTAAATACATTTTTTTCTTTAAATAACATTATAGTAAATCACAAATTTATATTTATTGATATAAGTAATTTATTTACTTATAATTTTACAAATTAAAATGTAAACGTCTTTCTTTTCAGTCGGTAAAAACATTTGACCCTCCATTGATTATTATTCGTAAGTAAAATTTCTAATGTAAGTTTTAATATACACCTAGAGTAGAAAAGCTTCTTTCAATAAAGCGGTTCTAACTGGCAATATTGAAAACAATTTCAGCATTATAAATATATTAGAAAAAACATGGAAGAGCCCTTTAAATAAGATAGTGCTTTCGGGGTCAAGTATACTCAGTACTCCCTTTTGGCTACAGCACTGCCCTACATTACGACTGTATACTTATACTTTATATTTTTGGAGTTTTCCTTACTTTTTCTGAATTGAGTTCTTTTATTATTACTTTTTTTTTTATTTAAGCACTATTCTTAAATTACATATTAAATAAAAGTTACTATAAAAAAAAAATAATCATGTAATATGCACTTATGAATATCTATTATATATTTACGTAAATGGAGTAGAAACAAAATTTTAACTCTTGATGTTATGAAATATATTTGCTAACCACTAAGCTATATTTAAATTTATAAAACTACATAAATTTCTGTAATTGGTTCTAACTAGGATAACTTATATGATTTCAACAACACAGAATAAATGATTAAAATGAATGAGTATTTTGTGAATATTCTGTATGAAATATGTTTAGACGAAAAACAATTAAAATGGAAAGATGCATCTATTTTTATTTTGGTCAAAAAAATAGTTGTTTGACTGTTTATATTGATACCAAACAGTATCTATAAGTATAATAAATCTCTACTAGTGCACTAAGTTCAACATGTTTTTGTTTCAGTGTCCAAACGAAGAACATGTATGAATATTTATAGAATATACTTTTTCTTTGCAGATATGATTAATGCACCACATGTTATAATTTTAACTGTTGAGATAATATATTTAATAGAAGATTAATTCAACTATAAATTATATTGTT